TGACCTCCGACTACTTGTTTACTTTCCTGGTTGCAGTCTTGAGCATATCGCCGACTGCCTCCGCTCCGCCTCTCTTCAGATGACATGATGGGTGTTGACCCTCTCTCTCCGATTGCGCCGGTGCGTCTAAGGGCGCTGCTGCTTCCTATCGGCAAGATAAAACGATCAAAGTTCTTAAGCTTTGCTGCAAGACTCCAAGCCGAATATGTCGTTCGACTGGGGGACATCAGTCCCGATTCGCGACCCAATCGAAGTATGCATTGACTTGCTTGTGCCATTAGCTTTGATGCGGAGGATCCCCTTTAATGGAAACTGACCGGGATCTGATGTAGACATGTTCTCCCCGTTGGCATTTCCTACCGGCATGATCCTCTACGACCTTTCCTTCTCCGTGCCCCCGACATCCCACCTCGAGCTGTTTCCCTTTGAAATATTTAGAGAACCGCTGGTTGTGATTGCGATAGCCGATGGAACAGAGCTTTCTAAAGGCCCGAAAAGCAGTGAATCGGACTCCGGGATAAATCGCAGTGATGAGAGGCCAGAAGGACTGGATGAACTCCTCGAAGAGATGGATGTTGTACGGGAGAGGAATCCTCGAGCGTTGGTCCATCAACTTTTAATATTCGATTTCGAAGGACAAATCAATATTTCGAATGGCCCGGACGACGTCCTATGGGTTCCGCCACCGCAAGCTTCCAAAGCCACTACTATGAAGACAGTGCTGTGCGACATAACGTCCCTTCTCTTGTCCGAACTGGATGACTTTGCAAAGACGATGCAGAGTATTCCATCCATCGAATCTCCCAAGGCGTCATCCTGGGGTCCACATCGAGGACCGGAATTACGCCCACGGCCCACGGACAAGTTAATGCACCGGATGACCTTGCCCTCACAATTTCCACCTAATCCCGACTCCGCGCCTGAAACTCCGTTGAGTTCGAACCAGAGTTCTCCTGCTCCTAGCGATCATGAAACTCCAACAACGTTCGACGAGATAACTCGATCTATACAAATATCAAGCCGCTCCAACAGCATTGGGAGATTCAACTCACTGTCGACGAAAGAGCACAGTCGTGATCGGATGTCAGTAAGTGGTATGAGCGCCACTGATCGCACAAAAAATCGCATCAAGGGTCGTGTGGGTGTCGTTATTGGTACTCTTTATCTCCAGGCAGGTCGATGGCCGGATGCACTAAAAGAACTCGTCGAGGCTGCTTCGAGTGCTAGGGCAAGCAGTGACTATGTGTGGCACGCAAAAGCGCTCGAGTCGATTCTACTTTGTCTCGTCATGTTTGGGTGGGCAGGAATGGACTTTCAAATTCCTCCAATCTGTTATCCGGTTGCCGATAAGTCTGCAAAGTCATTGATTAGCAGTGGCTTCGATTCGAGCCATGGACAGTCAACACCTGGGAACCGCGTCATTTCTCTACAGAACCTGTCGAATTTATTACCCGACCTGTCGCATAACATCATAAATCTCTACAGCCGCGCCGCTAACATTACAGATGAGCCGCTTCCGCAACTTGTCTTTTCGGAGACCGTGATTCGTTTATCACGGTTGCTGGTGGCTGCGCGTATTCGTGATGGCACACTGGACGATAATGCGCTGAAGCATATCGTCATGAATGAGTCTATATCACCCCTACACCAACCAGAACGTCCACGTGGGACAGTATTACTGAGAAAGTCCGACATTGCGAATTTCCTATTCCGTGCATTGCCATTATCTCCCGGCTCAGATTTGCCTGCCACGGATGCAATACCCATTGTAGTTGGTGTGATTTCCGTTCTGCATATATTGGATTTGCCCAGGAAGAAAGCCTTTGTATTAAGAGAATTGCTGTCGACAATGGTGCCGACCCTTGTTCAAGCGCGTAAGATTGGTGCAGCAGAGGTTGGAATCCACCCTGCCGCGGGACTGGCATCTCTCAGCGATGCTGCATTTGAGATCAATGCACTTGATCTTGGGTCTGGGAACATGGAATCAAGCTTGCGCATGCTTCTTGCTGCGATTGGAGAGATCTACGGTGTTCAGCCTTCTGGCTTCTACGAATGGGAAAAGAGACGAGAGAAGAGACGATCGTCAAGGGCTAATGGGTCGGAATCTTATCCCGAATATGACTCGGTTGCCGCCATAGTTGAGCGCGCTTTTCGACATACCGCTTTAGATAGCTACGGCGACCTAAACCTGAAGATCGATGTTCTTAAGGCGTGTATCAACTGCTGCGAGGCACTCCCCGACTTTGAAGGTGTGCTCCGTTTCACAGTTGAATTACTCCAGACCATTCGAGGGAGTTTGATGCTGGCTGAAGCTTACCATGCTCCTCCTTATCTTCCGCCAGAGGACCAAGTTCGGCTTCTGAATAACATCAAGCGAACAGTTGGTGCTGCAAACAGGCTGGGCGCTACGGGTTTGGAGGCAGAATACTGGGATGATTTTCTGGTTCGCGGTGTTGAATTGCTGCCTCTTCCAGATCCTAGGAGACCTGTGCGGCGGTCTAAATCGGAAATGGACGCTGTTACAACTAATTCTGAGAAGTCTAAGAAAGACCCGTTCTTGTACAACCCTTTCTCAAGAGCTAACAAGGCATCCGAATTGCTTATAGTCGCCGGTGAGCATGCAGCATTTAAGGTCACGCTTCAGAATCCATATGAATTTGAGTTGGAAATTGAGAGTATTCAACTCGACAACGAGGGTGTACGACTTGATGCTGTCGCAGAATGGATCCTGCTTCCACCACTAAGTCTGCAGGACATTGTGGTTTATGGAATGGCCCATGAAGAGGGTCCCCTCAATGTGAAAGGTTGCATTGTCAAAGTTCGGAATTGCCGGGAGCGTAAATTCCCCATTTTCACGAATTTTTGGAAGCCAGAGGCTGAAACGAAATTCAAACGTACTGGGTTGGCAGCGAAGAAGCCGACAGCAGAGCGCCCTCTGTCTTGGAGCTCAACGACCTCTAGAGATGGAAAGCAAGTACCCAAAAAGGGACCAGAGACGACATCTTGTGAAGTCAAAGTCATCGGACACCAGCCATCTCTGGTTATTGATTCGATGTCGTTGTCACAATCTGCAATAATGGTCTTAGAGGGCGAGGTCAGGTCGTTCGACATTACACTCCATAACACGTCGCTATGTGCCTTGGATTTTATAACTTTCACTTTCCAAGATTCGACATCCAGACAGATACAAACTGCTCTAGGCAACAGAGACCTGTTGGCAACGGAGGTGTACGAGTTGGAACTCAAGCTTTCTACAAAGCCGGCTTTAAGGTGGCGGCGCAAAGACGGACCAGCGGATGATCTTTCTGTTTCTGCCGGTCAAAGTGCTACATTCACAGTTGACATCCTTGGAAAGCCTGGTCTGCAGGACACCACTGTCCAGATTGATTATTCGCGGATTGGACGGTCAGATGGCGAATTGCCTGATGTGCTCTACACGAGACAGCTCTTCGTCCCGCTTACAGTTACGGTGAACGCCAGCATAGAAGTGGCTCGCTGTGATGTATTGCCTTTCAGCAGTGATTTTGCCTGGTGGAACAAGCAGGGTCCGGGGATTAAATTTGAAAATATATCAAACGAAGTGATGCCCTCGTCTTCTGACGGTGATCCGTTCTCTCCTGTTCTTTCTCAACTCGGACGGGGTGCATACGGCCCCGACCACTGTCTGTTGCTTCTTGATCTCCGGAATGCCTGGCCCAGCACATTATCCGTGTCATTGTATGTGAGCGAGCAACCTATGCAAGCGACAGAAGGAAGACCCGCAGAAGCAGGCGTAGAAGGCCAATACGCCGTCCACGGAGACCTCCAGCCAGGTCAAATCACGCGCTTTGTGCTCGTTGTTCCTCGTCTGTACCTTGACAATCCATATGCCACGATCCCTCTCCTCAACACCGGGATGAAGAGACAATTCGTGGTGAGCGCCAACAAACTCACCTTCGAGGCCGAAGCAGCAACCAGAGAGGCCTTCTGGTACCGCGAAGAACTCCTCAAACGAGTCTGCGGCTTCTGGAAGGAAGAACCAGCACGACGAGAGGGAACAGTTGACCTACGAAATATGCGCCTAAACGCACGTATGGTAGAAGCCATGCGCCTCGAAGACGTCGACATGACCTTCTTCTTGGCCCCTTCTTTCCCTGAATCCTCCGAAAAAGGAACCATCCAATCCGGCCGCTCCAAATACAACATACAAACCGACGAAATGCTTGACCTATCCGTCACGATCCACAACCGCTCTTCTAAACCAATCCATCCCCTTCTCCGCCTCCAGCCTAGTCTCCGCCACCAACCTAACAGTGTCGCCCTTGACCTCTCCCGCCGCCTCGTTTGGACCGGCATGTTACAACAAGTTCTGCCTATCCTGAGAAGCGGGGAAAGTACAACAGCCACCATTGGCGTTACTGTGCTTTGTCGAGGCGAGTATGAATTTGGCGCAACGGTTGAGGAGGTACGGATCTTGACGAAGGAGGAAGAGAAGACTGGACAAGGCGTTTTCCATGACTCAGAGGGCGCAATTAGGGATACGTTTGGGGCGGATGTGGCGAAGAAGAGGAGGATTTGGCATGCTAAGGAGTGCTGTGTTTTGGATGCTCATGACTGATTAACGCCATTCTGGCTGGGAGAAATATGATATATGAATGAATAGAAATGGTATTGTATAGTCTAAGATACATGTTTATGATGTCGTCTGCGCGAGGGTGTGTATATGGAATGGGTGTCTCGTTCTTCTTGTTTATTGTACATACAGACATGTCATCTTAATTGGAACTTGGATGTGATATAGTAAGTCGTACTTAGGCTGCCATGGCAGCCAGCGTCAGCTCCAATGGCCAGCCATGTTTGTATGCATATCAAGGTGTTCGCCCGTCCGTCTTAGACTGGAGTGGGATGCTGCTCGAGCCGAGCTGCACGAATTCGAGGGTGATAGGACGTATTCCTTCAAGGTGGGGTTAAGGGTAATGGATCTGTAGTCCTCTGACCAGGACAATTTGATCTGGCAATAATCACCCCATCGAATCCGCCCTATCCTTCCCATTCCCACCACTACTTCCCTGCTGCTGCGGCTGATCTAACGATGGAAAACTAAGATGCTTCCAATCCTCAATTTCCTCAATAATACACTTCAACCGATCCCTAATACTCTCCACCGCATACGTCCCCAGAATCAGCCTTAGCGGCGGATAAGAACAATGTCCCAACTCCCAGACCAAATGCGCCGCTTTCACAGCACTCGCGGGCTGCTTGTCCCCGAGCCAGAGGAGCATTCGCTTTGCGTGTGCTGCAGGGGATGATGGCGTGTTGTATGGCTCGCTGGGCGGTTTCACGAGGAAGTGGCCGTAGAGAGGGAGCGGGGAGGAGAGATTATGTTCGTTGTTGTTTCTGCTGTTGTTCGCTGAGTCGGAGGGGGGAATGGAGCCGGCTGGGTCGGAGACTAGATGCACGATATCGTCGCGTCGCATGTGTCCAGGTTCCACGAGGGTTGCCTTGATGTTGAAACTGTCAACCTCGTACAACATGCTCTCCATTAACCCTTCGACCGCATATTTGCTCGCGCAGTACGGCCCCAGCCCGGGTACCCCCAGCGCCCCGGACGTAGAACTAAAAATCAAATACCTCCCCGCACCCCTCTTCCGAAAATGCGGCAACGACAACTGAATCATATTCAACGTCCCGGTGAAATTCGTCTCAAACTGGTTCCGGATATCATATTCGTCCTGGTCCTCGCATGCCCCCAAGACACCATATCCGGAGCAATTCGCGATAACATCGATACGGCCGAAACGTGCGATTGTCAGATCGATGACTCGTTTGACGGTTTCGCGAACGCGCACGTCGCAGAGCAGGCCGAGGCAATTTTCATGCTCAGATTCGAGCGCTTTCATGCTTTCGGGGGTGTTTTCGAAGGTGCGGCCGACGGCAGCGACGAGATCATTGCGGCAGAGGGCATTTTTGACGAGTGAGCGGCCCATGTGGCCTGTTGCACCGAAGATCTAGCTTTATAGTTAGTTATTGTAGCACACAGCTGGGATGGGATCGCGGGGCCGTACCAGCCATACGAGCGGCTTGGGTGGGTTCTGCGGGCCTGGGGGATTGGTGGTGGATGGAAGATGAAGTTGGGGTTCTCGGGGAGTTGATGAGGGCGACGAGGGGTTTGCTCTTGGGGAGTGTTGAGTGTCCATGGTGGCCGGGTTGTGAATAGTCGCGGAGGACGGAAATTGGGGATTTTAGGCCGAGATCTTCTCCGCATCGGGAATCCTAGAGTCCTGACTGCGCCAAGTACGGAGTATAGCATCATCACAATATTATGTTTTCAATTGAATATAATGGGCAAGTCATTTCTAATCTAAAGTATACAATAAAGATAGGGAAATGGTAAAACACCGAAACACCACAATTGCATATCAACGCGCAACCTCCCTCCGCAGCCGTCCAGCAGCCGATGAAGGACTCGGATCAGGCCAGCTACTCACCGCATCGTCAACCTCTTCCAAGAACGTAGTGCTGTTATGGATAATAGTGCTGGCCAGGACCACTCTAACACCCGGAGAACTGGCATTTACCTGTGCAACCATCTTGGCTTCTTCGTATGTCACACCGCCAACCATGAAGATGATGATGTCTTGGGGTTTATCCCGGACGTGGCCGCTCCCTTCGAGGAAGGGGTACTGCATTTCCTTTAGACGACCCTTTATTAGGTTTTGCAATGTCACCTCCAATCGTGGGGAGTGTTGTGTGTAAACGTTCTCGACGCCCTTCAAACCCTTGAAGCGATCCCGCGCTCCAGAGAAGAATGAGGTAGACTCGAAGAGGTCTGAGAATCCTCCAGCCACCGGAGGTGCTTGGAGAGAGTGGTGATAGGCGAGAAGTTTGGGGATGATGTTGACGCGGTTTGAGGGGACGTCGCCGGCTGTGGCCAGCAAGTCGAGTAGGATCGGGAGGGCATTGTTAGGTTGTTTTTCATAGCGGATTGCGTATAGTGCCACCAGGCGGAGCTTACTCTCTGCTGGGACGTTAGGCAATTGGATAAGCCTTTGTAGATTCTGTGACGAGTTAGTATGGCATTGGAAGAAAGAGGAAGGTAAACATACTTTAAGGTCATTCCCATGGTTATCATTGCAAGCCAAGCTCTGCTCAAGCTCACTCACATCGAGCAAGTTATCCTCGCCAACACGCCGGCTAAGCTCTCCAACCAAGGTGACATGCTTACTCACATTGCCTGACAGTTTGCGAAACTCAGGGTAATCCTCGACGAACCGCTTCATATCCGCAATGGACTCGATATTCATGGTATTTTGGGTTTTGACCTGATATTGTTCCACATACTCCTTGATGTTTTGGCCCAGGTCGCCAAAGTTCTGATACATGTTCTTCTTGAAGAACGGGTCCTGATCTTGGGAAAGCACAATCTCCCGCAACTCCGGTCGAATCTCAGGAACGTCGCGCAGGTCCACCCGGCCATTGTTGATGCCAATGAGTTCATGCACCATAGCTTGATATGTCCATTGAGTGAGTAAAGGCGTGATGGGGTCATCGCGACGGTCCAAGATCAATAAGATAGGTGGTGTGTCGGTCTTCCTAAAATTGAACAATTGCTCCTCCTGAGTGATGTGATATCGGACTTCGGTCGCAAGCTTCTTCGCCGACAGGCTATTTTTCTCGTAACGGATCAATGGGTTCTTCTTCAACGACAATAGTGTCGCAATCACGCCCTCCGTCGCTCTTTGGAGCGCATCCGCATTCCACAAATCCGGCGTGTGACTCCACAACCGCTGCAGAGGAAACCCAAGGTTTAACGAACAAAGGTCGGGGTTGACAACGAGAAAATCTGCAAAATGTTCCTGGATAACCTGCACGACTTCGTGACTATCTGCTTCTGCAAGGCGTTCGAGCGACGACTTGCGGATGATGTTGCTGAAGTAGATGTGGTACTCGCCGTATTTGGGATCGCGCAACTCGTCGACAAGAAACTGGATTGCATTCGGGGTTGGACGAACAAAGCAAAGACATCGCAGGTGTCGCATCTTCTCTCGCGCGGGATTATCGAGTCGGTCCGTGAGGTAGACTTCATGGTTGAGCAGGGCGGATTGGGTGATGGCGGTCGACACGATAGGGACCTACAGCAGCACTTGTTAGCATTTCTCCCGTATGCGAATCGAGGGAATATCCCACTGTCTCACTATCGAGGAGCAAGATCTTCATTTTGGATGAAGAGCTCTGGGTCGACGAGTCCCCCGCAGAGACCATCTTGGAGATATACCCCGACACCGCGGCGACAACGTCCATTTTCAGAGGGAAACTAAGAGAACCCTGGTATATGTCTCTCAGGGGATTCGTAATCACTTGTAACCTGGATCCAACGTTGTAGTAGAAAAGCGCCGAAGTGAGCGTGGACGGGAGAAAGGAGGGACTGATATGACATGATAATCACTGTTGAGATCATCCGGCGGAGCTCAACATTTCCGTGTCGTCCCTCTCTGTATTCAACACCCCCTGGTATAAATACAACCAATGCACTGGGATTGATTCTATCATTAACAGTTAAGGTCTCAGCACTATGCTGCCTTACGTTGACTTGGTCTTTGACTACCCTGCTAGGCTCACGGGAGCCTCGATCGATGAGCGTACGGTATCCCACGAGAATTGACCGATCAGAGCTAACAACAACAGTAAAGCTCATCACATCCTTCCTCCTTTCCTACCCCCTCGCCGCAGTACTAAAGCGTCTCCCCGATAGCCAACCCTGGAAGAAAAATGCTTTCATCATTGCCGTCTCGCTGTTCTATATCGTCGGCCTTTTCGACCTCTGGGATGGCCTCCGCACACTCGCCTACAGCTCTGCCGGTGTCTATCTGATCGCATACTACGTGGACGGCTCGCTCATGCCATGGATTGGCTTCGTGTTTCTCATGGCGCACATGTCTATCAGTCATATATACAGACAGATTCTGGATGATGGGCAGGTGATTGATATCACGGGCGCACAGATGGTGCTGGTTATGAAATTGTCATCATTTTGCTGGAATGTTCACGACGGTAGACTGCCACGAGAACAGCTGTCGGAGCCGCAGAGATACGCTGCTATCACGCAATTCCCTAGTGTTCTGGACTATCTGGGATATGTGCTGTTCTTTCCGTCGTTATTTGCGGGGCCGTCGTTCGAGTATGTCGACTACCGCCGCTGGATTGATACGACGCTCTTCGATATCCCTCCAGGCACAGACCCGAGCAAAGCGCCCCCGACACGAAAGAAGAGACGTATCCCGCGCAGTGGACGGCCGGCAGCCAAAAAGGCTATCATAGGCCTAGGCTGGATTCTACTCTTCCTCCAACTCGGCTCAAGATACAACCAAGACACCATCCTGAACCCCGAGAATAACTTCATGCAATACTCCTTCATCCGCCGTATTTTGATAATCTACCTCATCGGCTTCACCACCCGTCTCAAGTACTACGGTGTCTGGTCCCTCACTGAGGGTACCTGCATCTTGTCCGGATTAGGGTACAATGGCTTTGACCCGCGGAGTGGTAAAGTCTTCTGGAACCGCCTGGAGAACGTCGACCCATGGAGTCTGGAGACGGCGCAGAACTCGCATGGCTTCCTGGGTAGCTGGAACAAGAACACTAACCACTGGCTTAAGAACTATGTCTATCTGCGTGTGACGCCAAAGGGCAAGAAGCCCGGGTTCAGGGCTAGTATGGCTACATTTGGGACTAGTGCTTTCTGGCATGGTTTCTATCCTGGTTACTACATGACTTTCGTCCTGGGATCATTCATTCAAACCGTTGCTAAGAGTAGACCCCCCATCTTTCCCCTCTTTCTTAACCAAATACTAACAAACGCAGACTTCCGCCGCCACATCCGCCCCTTCTTCCTAACTCCCGACGGCACAAAACCCACCCCCAACAAACGCTACTACGATATCGCAAGCTGGCTTGCCACCCAACTCACTCTCTCTTTCACCGTCATGCCATTCATCTTCCTCTCATTCGCCGATTCCATGGCCGTCTGGCAAAGCGTCTACTACTATGGAATACTCACGACACTCTCGTCACTAGCTTTCTTCTCCTCGCCTGTCAAGAAGATCTTCATCAAGAAGTTGCAGACTAGGGCTAGTGGTACTGCTGGTGCTAAGAAACCGGTTTCTGTTTCTGCGCCTTCTGGGCCAACGACGCCGGGTGCTGATGGACATGACCGTGATCAAACGCTTGGTTTGCCGGATGACCCTGCTAAGGATCTTGATGAAGCTGTTCAGGAGATTAAGGGTGAGATTGATGCGAGAAACCGTCGTGGGAGTACGGCTACCATGCCTTCGGGGGCGGAGTTGAAGGCTGCTGTTGAGGAGAAGATTGGGAGGAAGTTGTAGATTGTTACTTGGTTGTGGAATGTGAAGTGTGATCTGTCACGTGCTGATGTGCTGATGTTTATTGTTACTTTGTTTATCACTGAGTATCCTTGGTAGGGCTATGTTGTATGTTTATATGGAGAGATAGAGAGAAAAAGGGAGGGAATGAGAAAACGAAGACGAAGGTAGATGTCTATCCTAGTCTAGTCTATTTTTAATCCATCATTAATCACTCCTGTTCATCTGTATATGCCAATCCATCTGAGGACAATCAAGAACAATCAAGATAAGCCAACTCAATCCAGAAGCAATCACATACAAAAAGTTCCAGGCTGAAACAGGAACTGCATGAATGCAAAAAGAACCGAAAGAATATAAAAAAGCATGAAGAATAAATGTATGCCGTCAATCCAATAAATTTTTTGATCAACCAAATCAAATCAAGCAAAGCTAATCACAACTCGGCTCCGATCAATCAACGGCCCAATGGGGCCAATTGAAAAGTGATTGACGGCGAGAAATCACCGAGCGAGATAGAATGTAACCAAACACAATCCTCCCAAACAAGTGACAATGATGTCACACCAAACCAAGCCAAACCAAGGTATATGTATATAAATAACGAACGTTGTACAATCATTCACTCGTTGCAGTCGTGTCAAGAGGGCCAAAAGGCAAAAAACGAACAGCTGAATCCGGGAAAGAAAAAAAAAAAAAGTCGAAGAAAAGAGAAAAAGCAAATGGGTATAATAAAAGGTCAACACGGAAGAAGCGATGAGAAACGGGCAACTTGTTGAATCGATGAGAGTCGTTGACCGGTTAGAAACCCGTGGTGGTTCCAATTGCAGCCAGTACAACCTATCAAGTCAAGTTAGCGATTGAGAAAAGTTAGACGGTGACAAGGGGGGCTTACAATGATAGTAATAATGGTGATGCCCACAGGCACCATCCAACGGTTGAGATTTCTCCACCACCGAGCATTGTCATGTCGACGTCGCTCAAGGTCGTATAATCTCGCATAGAGTGTCACTTCGCTTGCGGGGGTCCCCTCGAGGTCGATGTCGGGCTTGGGAGGCAAGGGCAGGAATGCAGCCACAATCCATGCTGAAACTGGTTAGTATGCAGTCTGAAACGAGAATACTGTAAGGGGGGCTTACCAAGTGGGAAGATGAACCCAAAGCAGAACGCCCAGACTTGAAGATTCCTCCGTCCAAGGAACGGTTCCATCCGCGAGTCCAACGAAGGCGCGACCCAGTTACTAGCCTGAGTCTCAAGTCTTTGCCGATCCGCATACAAATGAGGTGACCAGCTGTGTCGCAACTGATAGAACATCCCCGTCGGCGGTCGCGATGTCGGTGGGGGAGCAACCCAATGGCTGCGCGGATCCCGGGGATCCTCCGAGGCTGACCGCGGATCGCTCTCAATCGCACGGATACCCAGTCGGGACATTGGTCGGCTGGCGTTCGACGGGTGAGCGCGATGACCTCCAGAGGATTGTCCGGTGCTGGCAAGCGACAGAGCGGAATTCACCGCATTCCCATTCCGGTAGTACACCTTGGCCCAGTTCGGAACCAGATTGGTAAGGAAGCTGGAAGTGGTTGCCCGACTTCGCATGCTACCGGTCCGTCGCGAGTCGGCGGAGGGTGTGCTGGTGTGACCCAAGCCCGCATTGCGAACTTGAAGATTGGTGAAATTTCCGACCTTCTCATCCGAGTCACTGACTAGCCGCAAAGAGGTGTCGTGTTTGGACTGGTGGACCACTGCGCTGGAAGGTCGAGCGGGCTCTGCTGTTGAGCGCCCGCTCGAGGGTTCGTCTGCGGCGCCTGCGAAGCTGTTGTCGCATTCAGCGGACCATTGCGAGGGTACAGTAGACAAATGGGAGGTGATGCGGCTTTCGGAGCGTTCGGGGATGGGTTCGTGGAGGGTGGAGGAATCGTAAGAGGTAGAGCGCGGCTCCTGGTGCGAGGTTTCGACCCAGGAGCTGGAGGAGGAAGGAGCACGGATGCTCGGGTACTGGACGTGAGCACCGTTGTCAACAACGGCTTGAATCTCAGAGTCGGGACCGCTCTGGGACGAGGAGGCCTGGGAGTGGGAGTGGCTGCGGACAGAGCGCGAGCGATCGCGCTCGTGGGAGGAAGTCTGGGACTGGGCCGAACCGTGGACGGATTGATAAGGAGGAGTAGAATGGAAGGAACGGGCGGCCCAGCTGGACTGTTCCGAAGGCGAACCATGGATCCAGGGGGTAGCCCCGATGTGCCGAATGACGGTACCCAAGGAATTGGCGGACGAAGAAATGGAATTGGAACGATGGGTGACGGATTCTGAGTTGGATGGGGTCCCGAGGCGCATGAAGTTGACGCTGGAGGTATCAGTATAGGTGACGAAGTTGGGACTCGAGGGCGCGATAGAGGGCGGGCCGATGGGGACGATGTTGGGACTGGAGCTGTCGCTGGGGTGGCGGGAGGACGCCAGGGAGGCGACGGTCTTGACGGTGCGAGCGGGCGGGAGGCTCACATCGTCACCAGAAGAGATAGTTTTCTTGTCGTCCTCATACAGCTTGAAGGTTTGGTCATCATCGTCATCCTCGTTCCCCTGAGAGGGCGTCGGGTACGAAGAGTGGGTGGACTCGGGGTCGTGCAGCCAACTCTGGGAATTGTGGACGAAATCAACCCAGGAGTCACTACCAGACGCTTCCAGGGTGCTGCTTTCCGCTAGACCAGTGCTAGGCTCGCCGGAGAGAATGGACGAAACGCGGGAAGGGGTTGTCGAGGTCTGCGGTGGAAAAAGCTGTTGCCCCTTGCCGGGATTGGGAAGCAGCACGTGTTCCGGCTTGGTCGGAAAGGGGGAAGAAGCATAGATAGTAGCCTCGTTGGGGTAACTGGAGTAGTCGTGCTGGAAGGGATAGTCGTTCTCGTGCTCGTCGCTGTTATGGGTACTTTTGGAGCGAACATGGTGTAGGGAGGCGGGAGGAGAGGCGGAATTGGTATGCGAATGCGAGCGTTCATGAAGGGCTCTGCGAGGAGATGTGTTGGATTGATTCGAACGCATGATTAAAGCATATTATGGTATTACTATATTGTCGAGTGTGCTTTTTTGGAACCGAGGATAAACGATAATTATATCAGATGATAGGTAATATTAGGGATAAAAAGATGCAGCTGTAAGTTTAAAAGAATGACAGAACACGACCAGAGTAAAAAAGAATGACTGGATTAAAGCATAATAAAGAGTGACTTAACAACAACAAAGAACGACGGCACTTGAAGAGAAAAAGAGAGAAAAAAGAGATGAAAAGAGAGGGCGAGGGCCGGCAGTAATAAAAGACACAGTCAGAGATTGGCCCAACACAGGAACGAACGAGAGCTGCAGAGACGCTATACCCTATTCAGGGGAGTGAAACACGCTTAAATACGCAATGACCAGCCGGGCATCAGTGACGAACTCTTCTATATAAGGACACCCCCTGATAAATGGCGTCTAGAATAGCGGAATAGGAGAATAGGAGAAGTATATAGTCGGGTATAGACAGAAGTATCGTTGCATTCGATCGCATGTCTTTGTACTAGCTAGACTATGCGCAAATACTTATGCTTGCATAATGTAGATCGATGGATCTGCCAACTCACAGTGGGGTGACAGCAGCGGTGAGATTACTCGTCCAGCATAATTAAACCAATTGGAGATCCCAATCCATCTCGAGGCTGTGACCCCTGTACAGGTACTCTGGAGTACCCTAATATATATCCCGAGTAAGGCGTGCCTGTGTCTATCTTTATCCAGCACTCGGGATGCGGAGCCGATGAACGGAGTGTAAACAATATTTTCTGCCTGAGGCATCTATGTGTTAACTTAGTCATCGCGTGTCATTGTCTGGACTTGATATTGTCCTTGCTGGTATATCTTTTCTTTCTTCTGTATATTTATTTCATTCTTCCATATATTTGGTCTCAGCAATGGCGCCTATATCCCTTTTCGCCCGGCTCAAAAATCTATACTCCGGGCGCGGTATGTCACACTATCATTACCACGAGCGCTACTGACATGAACAGATGAACCCATCCTGTCAGTCAACATGGCTGCAGTAGCTTCGGTATGTGACATGTCTAGTGGAACTTGCAAAATACTAAAACATGGGTAGGTTCTTCTAACTCTGGCCTACGTCGTCCCATTTTACATTTCTTCCACCACCCGTCCATCGCCCACTCTCAGTCGCGATGCCCCATCGGTCATCCGCGCGCGAATCCGCGCTGTCACTCTATCCACACTGGGTGGCTCCCTCGTGGTACTCTGGGTGATCCTAAGCAATACCAATGTGCCTCTCGGCCACGCTCTTCATCTCCTTGGCTGGTGGCCTATCGTCCCCGGCGACATCTTCCGCTCATTACTTCTCACGGCCATTCTATTCCTGGGTCCCCTCTTTGAACGAGGAATCGCCGAAGGTGAATGGAAAGAATGGATTCGCTACGGCAGAATCTCCGAATCCCTCCGTGGCTGGATGGGTTGGAGGAACTACGTTGCCGGGCCTGTCACTGAGGAAATCATGTTCCGATCTATCATCATCACTCTGCATCTCCTCGCTAAAGTATCTTCTGGGCATATTGTATTCATTGCGCCCGTATACTTTGGCATCGCACATATCCACCACTTCTACGAGTTCCGGCTTACTCATCCGGACACTTCGATTCCGCTTGCCCTCCTCCGCTCCTTCGTTCAGTTCACTTATACGACTATCTTTGGCTGGTACGCCAACTTCCTCTACCTGCGCACTGGCTCGCTGTTTGCTGTTATCTTTGTTCACAGTTTCTGCAACTGGTGTGGTCTACCCCGGTTCTGGGGACGCGTTGAAGCCGGTGTCGCTCTGGCACCACCACCGGAAGGTAATGACGAACGCGAGCAAAGTACGACTTACGTGACACCTGATGGATTGGGATTAGGATGGACAGTAGCATACTATGTGCTTCTTGTCGTCGGGGCTGTTTGGTTTCGGTATGTTTTGTGGTCGTTGACCGAGTCAAGTCATGCATTGGCGGGTTTTTGATGTCATCTTGGAGCTTGCTGTTTTGAGATGGGATACGAGTCATGTGTATGATAGACAGGTTAGGAGATTATCGAATAGTATTTTTGGACTAGTCATGTCAGGTACCAATGTCATATGCGGCATATAATACCTAGTCCATTCCGTAATATAGCCCAATATAACGCTATAAACCCACTATACGAGTCAATGGAGGGAGAATTCTGTTCCTGCCTGCTTGACTACAATTATGTGTATTGGAGAATGATATCTTACCAGTCCATATTATCTTCGCCGGCGCAACAAGCGGCATCGGCGCCGCCACTTTCACATCCATAACTTCAATTCTGTGTAATCCAACCCTCTACATCCTGGGCCAATCAGCATCACACTTCACAATTCAGTGAGGAAAACCATATTCCTGAACCCAGACGCCAGGATCGTTCTCCTCGAAGTCGATGTTTCATTGCTATCGGATGTTGACAAATCTTGTAAACAGATTCAAAGGGATGAGAGGAACGTGGATTATCTATATATGAGCGCGGGTTTGGTGCTGCTGAACAAAGCGGAGTGTGCGTCAATTGCCGATGAATGGGCTGCAAATGCTAACGGTTGCAGATACAAAAGGTCTGGAGATCTGCTTCGCGCTGTCATACTACACCCGCATCCACCTCATCTCAAATCTTCGGGGGTGTTTTGGATAATGGTCCTCGCGACTATCTGCAGTGTTGTGAAAGTGGTTATGAATATTTTTGGTGTCTCTGCAGAAGAGAGCAGGGGGGGACAGGCTTATCATCTTATATATAGTAATTTTGGTCGGGGGCATGTGTGGCGGATTGATAATAAGAATGAAGTGATTAGAAGGGATGGTATTTTGGGAAGGTATTGGAAGGGTGCATGGCCTGAGAGGATTTGAAAGGGTGTTTGAGAAGGCTGTTCGGTGATTCTTAGCTCTAAAAGTACACAACAGACAGGTTCTGATGATGTTGAGTCAATGAAATCCATTTCAAGCACGAGCTCTCTCGCATTTCTTGGTAATGTATAACTCCAATCAGTCGAACTACATAGCTTATCGGCCCTGGTTCAAAGACGTGCATCATGAAAGCTTTTTGGCCGAACAATCTCGGCTGGTAGATCATAGAAAAGCATTTCTTTTGACAAGACCTGTCATGCTTTGATGTGCCCAATACGTGGGGTTGAACCTAGGAATTCCTACTTGTAAGAACTCATCGGGTGTTCTAATCCCACAAGTCTCTTTTCAGATGTTGATATCATATGATAGCTTATTGGTGATTGCTTACCCAAAATTCCCATGGCTTTCTGTCGTATTGCTCATGGGAAATTTTTGGAACTTGGCGTGGATGAGTCCCAATACGCTGCCTAACAGGTGCATATGTGATCGAGCGCTGCCAAAAGATTCGATCGTCAATTACATCGAATCATCTATCTGGTATCGCATGGCCTTTTTATAATTGTTCCTTATTTGCGCTTTCTGGTATGGTGAAATAGTTCCCACGGCTCTATGAACGTGTAACTCGAGAATACTAGATCACGGAGGATATACCTGTCGCTTTTGTCAGTTGTAGCACACTTGGTATTTAGCAAGCCCACTGTTATAGAACGATCTTGGGTGATTATATGTTGTGCAGTTGAGCAAGAGTCGAGTATGTCTTTATCGTGACTGTATGAGCGAATTCGATACATTATGACTGTCGGGCATCCAATTCCAATCAGCACTTTGACGTAAATAAAGAGACCCTAGAAACTTATTATTAGCTATAAACGAATCGAACCGCGCAAGCATTTTATAACGTGGTCTTCCTTGGTGATGATATAGAGGCCTCTAATATCAACTTACTCTTTCATAGCTTGCAAATAGGCTGCCTTTGCCTTTGGGTAAGTATGGCCAACTCACACGAATCAGATAAGAACTGTACGTTGATGTGAGTACTTGTATAAGGACCGAGAGAACTCAGTGGAGAGTACGGAAAAAGATGACTGGGCCGAAGAAAATGTGAACAATGAATACAACGGAATGCCATGCTGGCTCAATAATCTGTAGCCGCTAGATGGTACTCAATCTCCTTGATTATCTCTTCTATTCCTTAGACTACATTAATGGTGATTACAAGAACGAAGGGCTATCAGCAATTCTTTGCCAACCGATAAGACATACACAACTTTCAAGTCAATCATAGTATTAAATAGGTAATGATAAACCATTAATGGGCCTATGGCGCAACGGTAGCGCGTGTGACTCCAGATCACAAGGTTATCTGTTCGAATCAGGTTGGGCTCAATTTTTTTTCCCCCTTCTTTTACTGCGGTCATGGGTAATACGAATCGGTTGACAGACTACCTGATGAAATACTAACATGATTAAAGAAACAAAGAAAAAGGCTGGGTCTTTGCCCTATATCCAAATAGGCGAAAGCATGGATAGTCAGGCTGCCAGCGAGCGCTCCCGCTTCGATTTATTACTACTCGTCGTCTTCTTGTCGTTGATCTGTTATTGTTTGTTACTTCCACCAGACAAAAAGAACCAATAAAAGTTGGGATTTTAATTTTAGATCTAAAATTATTAAATTTTGAGAACCAGAAAAAATATATTAAAAAAAAATTGAGCCCAACCTGATTCGAACAGATAACCTTGTGATCTGGAGTCACACGCGCTACCGTTGCGCCATAGGCCCATTGGTTGATAAATTCCTAATTTATTGTTTATATAACGTAATTTTTTACAACATTCACCCTTTTCAAGGAAAATATAGCCGATAAATGGTTTGAAACCTATTTTTACACCTAGAAATCCATAGTCCACTCGAGATAATAGAGGAGCTATTTGATTTCCATTGATAATCGGTTCTGAGTCTAGGCTGCTACCCCTTGAAATGTCGGGGCTCGCGCGAAGGGATCTGCATATACGTAGTAGACTCCGGACTCCGGGTTGAATGACAATGTCGGTTAGATTGTTAGATGCAAGAGACGGAAACGTGGCTATGGTGAATGTCTGCCTGCATGTGTTGTGTTGATCTTCTATTTACGTGCACCGCCGCGGGGTTCAAATATATATTCCGGACGCAGAGCACAATACTCCATCCGAATTCAGGGGTGCTAGCGTAAAGAAGAGTGGAAGATTATCTAGTTCGTTGCACTCGAAGACCAGCGCGCAAGATGGAGGTCCTTCCTTGACCAGAATATATCAACCGACATCTCACTAGAGCACATCCTCTGCTGCGCCATTGTGGGCAAAGACTACGATCTAGTTCAAACCTGTCTCTCCCACAGCGCCCAGCTCAATGACTTGATATACGGTGCAGTCGTCCGCGGGTTAACTATTGACCTAATGTGCATCCTCATCCTAGCTGTCCTGGATGTAGACTGCCAGAATGATCGGACTAGTGAATATGTTGCGATGACTGCGTCCAGCGGAAATCCTGAATTCACATGATTCCCACTCGAGCATGGCTTGGATCCGAACATAAACCCGCTAGCTGATTTCTACCCAGCGCTCTGTGTCGCCGTGGGCAACGACAATGTTGAAATGACCGAGTTGTTGTTCCAGTATGGGACACGGGTGAATAGGCTAGGTGCACTGGGGGCAGCAGCGAAACGGAAGCGATATGCAATGATGGAATTTCTTTTCAGACATGGCGCGGATATGAACGATGATGCGAAGTGGGCCGATGATGTTGTTATAAGTTGGCCACCGGGGACGACGGCATTACATGAGGCTGTTGCAGTGAGAGACATCGATGTCCTGGGGGTTGTCTGATCCAGCGGGGAGCTGACCCGGGTTTGAAGGATTATGGTGAGCGGACGCCTGCTATATGGTGGCCCGCAAGGAGGGTCATCAGGAGGCAGCAGACTTTTTTGGACAACATGCCATAGAATAGAGCTGTAGCCTGTTAGATGAATAAAGAGTCATACTTCGGAAGTGATCTCGGACTCGGCCTCGGAAATTGCGGAGTTTAGCTATGACATTTATCTCTCCGGATTTTCAACTCAAGAAAATCATCGTCCGCGCAACAATGAAACTACGACTACAACCGCTTTGGCGGTCGCCTTTTGGCACTCTCAGACCTCATTTACAAATACGCTCTGCCAGCCGTCTCCGCACTCGTCTCGACATCCCCCCTCCATTCCCCGTCACGAAATCATGCCCCGAACCTAGTTGCAATTGCCCGCCCACGCCTGCGATGCCAGAAGGGCTTCCGATCGACCATGAACAACCGCTAAACGGAACCATGGCTGCGTATGCACAGCAGTTGCTGATCTGTACCGGACAGCGAGATTGGACTAGTCGCATTGAGGATGACGGGAAGGAGAAGGGTTGGGGGGATCTTGCGCGAGGATTGAAGAAGCTACTTGGGCGTGGTGGTCCTTATGCTGATGTATGTGTTGATCGAGGTATAGCATGGAATATTGCTAACCGAGACTGAAGCCGTTTAATAACATCCTCGTTTCGAACTCTTCACTATCCGCATCTTCGTCCTTGTCATCCGCTTCGGCCTTCCTCTTCCCCAGCTTTAAATACTTTCCTTCGATTCCTGTTGCCGACCAAGATGCAACGGATCCAAATCTGTCAAGCTTTGTCCAAGCTTTCCTCCTTCCCGAAAAACTACACCCCATGCAAGAATCCTCCCTTCCCGAGCCCAAACGTGACCAACTAGTCCGCGTCCCAAGCCTAGCATCGCAATTCCCCGGCGCAATCGACATCCACCAATCCCCCGTGATCCTCATCTGCGGTCACGGCGGCCGCGACATGCGCTGCGGAGTCATGGCACCGGTCCTTGAAATCGAATTCGACCGTGTTCTCTCTGCGCGTGGGTTCTCTACTTCTGTCAGTGATAGCAAGACAATCGACAGCCCGGAGCACGCGCATATTGGACTGATCAGCCATGTCGGGGGACACAAATATGCTGGAAACGTGATTATCTATGTTCCACCGGGGATGAGGATGTGCGATGGTGCTCCTAACCCGCTGGCCGGGAAGGGTATCTGGTATGGACGTGTTGAACCTAGGCATGTAGAGGGGATTGTGGAGGGGACTGTTTTTGGAGGAAAGGCGGTTATGGACCATTTTCGGGGTGGAATTGGGCGAGATGGGGAGATTTTACGGTTATAGAAGAGGACCTGTTTATGGAGAACTACCAATAACATAGAAACTAGACACAATTATCCAGGATATAATTGATGTACATGTATTCAGAAACAAACCGGATCTATGATGTAGACGCTAATCCCAATCGGGACGGAAGTTCTCCGCGTCAAACAATTTGACGGCGGTTTTCTCCTCTGCAGAATCTCGATCAATGGCTTGATCTCGACATACAGTTATGAGACAATGAAGTAATATACGACAAACATGCTCTCCCTTTCACGACTACGATTAAACCCAACTTGTGCCCTCGCACAGGGTCGCAGACTCACCACCACCATCTTCCCCAAACCCTTCATCCGATTCGCAACAATCTCGACCTCCTCACTCCCCCGAAAACTAGACCTCCTCGCTCTCGATCGAAAATGGCAAGAAAAATGGCAGCAACAGCAACAACAGCAACAACCTCCTCAACCCAGTGCCAACGATGGCAAACCAAAATCCTACATCCTCTCCATGTTCCCTTACCCTTCCGGAACCCTGCACATGGGCCACCTCCGCGTCTACACAATCTCTGACGTCCTAGCGCGCTTCTACCGCATGCGTGGACATGACGTCGTCCATCCAATGGGCTGGGATGCATTCGGGTTACCGGCAGAAAACGCAGCGATAGAGAGGGGCGTGGATCCGGCGGAGTGGACGAGGGAGAATATCGGACGGATGAAGGAGCAGTTGAGGAGTATTTCAACGGCTTTCAATTGGGATCGTGTACGTATGTCTTTAACTCGCCTGTTGGGGCTTGGGTCGAATTGGATGAGGGCTAATCAATGCGTGCTGATGGTTGGGTAGGAATTGGCGACTTGTGCGCCAGAATTTTATGAGCATACGCAGCGGATTTTCCTGATGTTGTATCAGAAAGGGTTGGCGTATCAGGCTGAGGCATTGGTTAATTATGACCCGGTTGATAAGACCGTTTTGGCGAATGAGCAGGTGAGTGAATTTAGATATACAAGTTACGGACAGGGCTGATTGGCAGGTCGATGCAAATGGTTTCTCATGGCGCTCCGGCGCAAAGGTCGAGCAGCTCAAGTTGAAGCAATGGTTTTTCCGTATCACTGCATTCAAAGAAGCCTTGTTGAAGGATCTGGATTCGTTGGCTGGTGGCTGGCCTGAACGAGTCTTGTCCATGCAGCGCAACTGGCTTGGGAAGTCGGATGGTGCTAAGGTTAAGTTCCCAGTTACCGTCAATGATGCCCAATCAAGTGTTAATGTGTTTACCACTCGTCCTGATACGCTGTATGGTGTCGAGTATCTGGCTCTTTCGCTGAACCACCCCATTGTTCAGCAGGTAGTCGAGAAGGACGAAGGACTACGCAAGTTCTTAGATGAAGCGGCATCGCTGTCGTCTGATACTAAGGCTGGCTACAAGCTACCTAATGTCTGGGCATCGCATCCGCTGCATATAATCGACAAGGAGAGTGAACATATTGCCCAAAGACTCCCGGTTTTCGCGGCTCCGTACGTCCTCGGTGATTACGGTGAGGGTGCTGTTATGGGTGTTCCGGGACACGACTCTCGAGATTTAGCCTTCTTTAAAGAGAATGTGAATTCGGAGTTCATTCCACAGGTTATTGGAGCCGAGGTGCAAGCCGCGCCGGCGGACTCGGGCGTCCTTCCCGCCGCGAACGCCGAGGCTTTCACGCACGAAGGCTATTTGACTTCCCGCTGCTGGAAGTATCAGGGCCTGCATTCGCAGGAAGCAAAGAAGCAAATTGTCACTGATCTCAACGCCGTCGGGCATGGCGAAGTAGTTGAGCAATGGCGCCTGCGCGACTGGTTGATCAGTCGACAGCGTTACTGGGGTGCTCCGATCCCCATCATCCACTGCGATAGTTGTGGTGCGGTGCCGGTGCCGGATGACCAGCTACCGGTGCAACTACCCAAACTCGAAGGCGACTGGCTCAAGGGAAAGAAGGGTAACCCGCTCGAGTCGTCAGAGGAATGGAAGCGCACTGAGTGCCCTAGCTGCGGACAGCCTGCGAACCGCGACACTGACACAATGGACACTTTTGTCGACTCATCGTGGTACTATCTACGGTTCTTGGACGCGGCGAACAAAGAGCAGCCGTTTTCATCAGCGTCTGTTCGACCGGTAGACGTCTACATTGGCGGTGTTGAGCATGCCATCCTGCATCTTTTGTATGCTCGTTTCATCTACAAATTCCTTGCGCAGTCTAAGTTGTTCCCTGAGATCGCACGGAATAGTAATATACTGAGAGCACCGCCTGAGCCGTTCCAGATGCTATTATCGCAGGGAATGGTCCACGGGAAAACATACTCGGACCCGTCCACTGGTCGATTCCTGCATCCGTCTGAGGTGGACTTCAGTGGTGGTCCTGAAAAGCCAGTTATCAAGGACACCCAAATCACACCACAAGTATCGTTCGAAAAAATGTCCAAGAGCAAACACAATGGTGTAGATCCCACTGCGTGTGCACACCGATATGGAGCCGATGCGACACGTGCGCATGTCTTATTCGCAGCGCCTGTGAGTGAGGTTCTCGAGTGGGATGAGGCGAAGATCGTGGGTATCGAGCGGTGGTTCGGTCGGGTGTGGAAGCTAGTGCTGGATGCGCGAGAGCAATTGACCAAGTCGGAGTACCGGTTTTCCGAAAAGGGATTGTGTGCCGACCACGCGACTCAGTTGCCGTTGCTACCGTCGTTGAGTGATGCTGATGCGGACGCCGTGCTCGTCACGCATCGGGCCATCGTTTCAGTCACACAGTGTGTTGAGCGTAACCCGTACGGACTGAACACGGTGATTTCGGATCTGATCAAATTAACCAACTCGTTGTCCTCCTCTTCGAATCTCTTGCCTCTGACTCTGTATCTTTGCGTTTCCTCCCTTCTCCGTCTCCTGGCACCAATTGCGCCGGCGCTGTCTTCGGAGGGATGGGAAATCCTTCACGAAGCAGTCCTCGAGCGTCAAACCGAGACACCCGTCCCAGCAATCTTCGCCGCGCCTTGGCCGACACCTCTCCTCGCCGCGGAACAAGCAGACACCCTGTCCGCGCGTGGGGGCCAAACTGTCGCGGTTCAGGTAAACGGCAAGATGCGCTTCACGGCAACCATTCCGCGACGACTGTCGCCCACCACAGAGAAGCCAGATGCGCAGGAGGAGCAGGATTGGGTGGTGAGTAGGATCCTGGAGACGGATGAGGGACGGGTATGGTTGCGAGAACGGAATGACTGGGAGAAGCGGAGACGAGTGGTGGTGGTGAAGGGGGGGAAATTGGTCAATGTGGTTTTTTGATTCTGTCCTCCGTACCCCAACCCATGTATATTAGTTGGAGGTGGTTTATTTATTTTATTTTATTTTATTTTATTTTATTTTATTTTTTTTTTTGGATAGAATGATCGTGTTGCACTCATTCTGGATGAGGGGAACTGTCAGTGACAGGCCATGCCGTGTCACCGTGGATCTCCCCTCATTCTCGGGGATGTCGGAGAATCGGGGACGGACAGGGATTCCCCGTGTAGCAGCGTAGGATACAGTGTACAAAAGTGGAAAAACTACGATATACAGGGGTGCCTGAGCATCATCTAGGAATAAATTACTTATTCAGTCGGATAAGTAACTATTCGTACCCCTCTACTCCGTACGGAATTTTGTATACTACTGCAGCTGTACCCTGAGTGGTGAGGGGCCCCCTCATTAGATAAGCCAACCCCCTCACGCGGGGCAGCACGCCACGGAAACATTACTCTAGCAGTAACAAGCATCTGTCAACCTTTCACTAACTGACTCGAAGTGGTCCGTTTTGTAACTACCGAGCCGACGATGGAAATCTCCCGGTACACTAGGTTGACTATGTTAATACTCTTAGCTAAGTCCGTGGACTTTCTGCCTTCAGGTAACCTGATTGTGTTATAATGTCCCTCCGTCCGAGCCAGCCAGCATACGTAATGGAGTAATGTGGGAGACCCCGCATGAGCAAGTGTTGATCGTGTATTTTGGTATGTATGTTGAGAGACGGTGGAAGTTAATCCAATTGCTGAGAGGGAAATAAGCTGAGAAAGGGAATAAAATGAGAATTCTTTATACTCCGTACAATTGATGTTGAATTCTATTCTCTGTGTAGAGTAAGGAAACAGGACAGTTATTCCCATTAGGTAGGGCTCTTAGGTGTTGATGACGATGCGGAGACCGTCAGTTCATCCGGATCTCCAGGACTACTCTTAGCACAAGTTCACGTACTCCGAGTACTATGGATACTACTGCTTGACACTAACTAGTAGTACCACTGTGGATGCAGGAAAGAAAAAAAAAATTAACGTGATCCACGCCTATAAATGCCACTTCCTCCTCTCTCCTCCCCGAGAATTTAACTCTCATCTTTATCACTTTCTCACACACGTTAACTCCAATTGTCTCGCATTCAGTAAGTTCCCTAAATTTCCTTTTTGGATGACGTTTTTCCTTTCTCCCGTATACATCACCTTTTCTCCTCTTTCCTATTATTATTATTATTATTTTTTCTATCTTACATACTCGTCTGCGTTCTCCCCCGCGTCTCCAACCCACTCGCTGCAACGCTCACTTCACACTCAAGGTTAAATACCTGCTAACGCCCTCTCCTCCAGCATCCTCTTCCATCCTCATCCTTTATAGTTCAATTAATCACACTCAATCAACACAATGGTATTTGCTCGCTCTCTTTCCCGTCAACTTGGACGGTCCTCTACTCTCCTCTCCGCCGCAGGATCCTCAAGACCTGCCTTCCGCCCTACTCCGTTGGCGGGGGCTTTCTCCGGTGCACGTACGCTAACTGCTTCTGCGAGCCGACAGGGTAAAGTTCTTATGGTTCTCTATGATGTACGTCCTCCCTCCTATATTGTCTTGCTGAACATAGTCTAACTTGTATATAGGGCGGTCAACACGCCAAGGACCAGCCCGGTCTTCTCGGTACCACCGAGAACGAGCTTGGCCTGCGCAAGTGGCTTGAGTCCAAGGGTCACACCCTCATCACCACCTCTGACAAGGAGGGCGAGAACTCGACCTTTGACAAGGAGCTTGTTGACGCTGAAGTCATCATCACTACTCCGTACGTTTAATGTTACGTGCTGGAAGTATAAAGAATTGGGGCTAACCTGAACAGCTTCCACCCCGGTTACCTGACCGCTGAGCGTCTGACCAAGGCTAAGAACCTCAAGATTGCCGTCACTGCCGGTGTTGGCTCTGATCACGTCGACCTTAACGCTGCCAACAAGACCAATGGCGGTATCACCGTCGCTGAGGTCACTGGCTGCAACGTTGTCTCCGTTGCTGAGCACGTTGTCATGACCATCCTTACCCTGGTGCGCAACTTCGTCCCTGCCCATGAGCAGATTCGCAACGGCGAGTGGGATGTTGCTGCCGTCGCCAAGAACGAGTTCGACCTCGAGGGCAAGACCGTCGGTACCGTTGCCGTTGGCCGTATCGGTGAGCGTGTCCTCCGCCGCCTCAAGCCCTTTGACTGCAAGGAGCTCCTCTACTACGACTACCAGCCCCTGGCCCCCGAGGTCGAGAAGGAGATTGGCTGCCGCCGTGTCGAGAACCTCGAGGAGATGCTTGCTCAGTGTGACATTGTCACCATCAACTGCCCCTTGCACGAGAAGACCCGTGGTCTCTTCAACAAGGACCTCATCTCCAAGATGAAGAAGGGTAAGCTTCCTATGCTCCTATGTATATCATGCACATGCTAACCGATTAGGCTCTTGGCTCGTCAACACCGCTCGTGGTGCCATCGTCGTCAAGGAGGATGTCGCCGAGGCCATCAAGTCTGGTCACTTGAGAGGCTACGGTGGTGATGTCTGGTTCCCTCAGCCCGCTCCCAAGGACCACCCGCTTCGTTACGTCCAGGGCCCCTGGGGCGGTGGCAACGCCATGGTTCCCCACATGTCCGGTACCTCGATCGACGCCCAGATCCGGTACGCCCAGGGTACCAAGGAGATCTTGGACAGCTACTTCTCTGGCCGCTTCGACTACAAGAACCAGGACCTTATCGTCCACGCTGGTGACTACGTCACCAAGGCTTACGGCCAGCGCAAGTAAGCTTAGGTTGAAGCGGAAGAGGGGTAAAAAATTGCATAGACAAGGGGATGTCATATATACCGGTGTTTTATGAGGCAATGACTGAACTAATCGGCCATTACTCTGGTAGGATGGCCTATGATGATACCTGAATATATTTACTTTTACACTTCACTTTATAGTTTATTATATGCAGTAGCGCGGCATGCAGCTTGCCACCGTCAAAAAACCTCCGTAGCTTGTCAATGTACAAACTTCCGAATATGCATAAGTGATGCAGGGATAAAATGCCAAACGCCATAGCTCTATTATACAGTAATTTCAGCCCATAAAACAAAATCAACGACGCCCTCTATCCTCCTCATCACTATCATCCATAAATCCCTCCTCTAAATCCCGACTTAACCTTGCCTCCGACTCCGGCCTACTGTTCCACCTCCTCTCCAACTCCCTCCTTCTCGCTGGATCCATATGCATCCCAACCATAATCTCCCCCTCCTCATCATCAATGCTGACATTATCGTGATGGTCTCCGCGAGGCCCGGCCACGCTATTCCTCCGCCATGGGAACGAGGACGACGAGCGCAGGACGCAGCGCATGAGGGTGTCGCCGATGCGGTCACGGACGGAGGAGGTGTGCGCGGAGATGGTGTGTAGCGGGAGGTAGTGGGCGTAGCGTTGGTGGTAGTGCTGGAAGAAGGGGAAGATGAGGTAGGAGAGGAGGACGTAGAGGGTTAGGGAGATTGTGGCGGGGATTAAGAGTGTCTGTTTTTCTGTTAGTGTGGTTGTAGTACAATGGGAATTGCTTGGTGGATACCTTTGCGATTGAGGACATGTTGTGAGTACGGAGACCCTGGGGGTACAGGTACTCCTAGCGCCAGTATTCCTGTGCAGAGCACTGTATACTTGTAGATTATTTTGCAGACACAGATTCAACAGCCACACTTCAAGCTAACAATGGACAATCCAATTATCTTTGGCTGGCCGAGATGCGCTACGATTGCGACTCCTTAATCACGTGATTTACCTCAGACCAACCAATAACAAACCGTTTTCGCCCCGCAGATGACTCAGCACCCCGACTTGGGCGCCGTCTCCCACTCCCCCTAAACGCCGCCCGTGCATCCAGCCCTGACGTGCCAAAAAGGGACGGTTTCAACCTGTTCTCTTCCCAAAAAAGAAACGATTCAAAGCGCCGCCTGAAGAAATAAGAAGATTCACATGATCCACTTGGGCTCTGTGTTTGGTTCGTCGTGAGCCGGACCAGTGCGAGTTGCAGCGCTACCACTATTTACCCATACCCTGGACTGATCGTCCCTGTCGTCTGTCGTCTCCCCCGTCCCCTTAGTGGGAGTACATACATTCAGTTACACTCAGTACATACAGTGACAGTGAAAAAAAAAGAAGGATTGGAGTCTTGGGATTGTTTGATTTGATTCTTACACATCCCCTTTCCCTTCGCTCATCCTCGTTTCGCGCTTTTTTTTCGCTATCGTTTCGCTCTTTTTTCTACCGTTGCTCCGCAACGAACTAAGACAGGATTCAGCTTCTTGAAAGAGTTGAATTAAAAGCCGAAGTTTCCGTCGTTAATATACTTGATCCAACCCCCCTGCTTTGCGAATCTAAAGGGTAGAATTAGAGCTCATGCTTTTCCCGCGGTTCCCCAGCGACGCTCGCCAAGATGCCATCGTCCACGTCCGCCTCTGATAAATCAAGACAAACCTCGGCGGGAAAATCGTTCTTTGGGAGGAAACTGCACAAGGAGAAGCCGGTAGAGATTCGCCATGAGAGCAGCAGCACAAGCAGTCTTGGCGATCTGGAGAATCTCGCGCCACCAGGGAGTGCCGCTGGTTCTCGTTCGTCGCGGCATTCGAACAAACGCACTTCTGTCCAATCTATTGATAATAATCCCTACGATCTCGATTCTGGCGGTATCGCGCCCTCGGCTGGTGTGATTACGTCCATCCCTTTTGAGAGCACTCCCTCCGATACTCGTAACCCGATTCCCGTGGATTATCTGTCCAATGCGTCTCCGCGGAGAGAACCATCGCCTCACCATTTGGCCCTAGGTGGTGGGGATTTCCATCAGTACCCGGTGTTTAATCCGTCTGCGGCTCAAGTACCGAATTACTACTCCCATCCCACCGGCCCTCGTCCGCCACCGCATGCTTCGAATATGACTATGAGTGGGAGTTCAACAGGTGATAGGGGGCCGCGGTATCAGCAATGGGGGAGACCGGGTAGTTCGGCCACGAATGCGCCATTCAGTCATAATTCCTCATCGACCTTCGATTCCTCTCAGAACTCCCGCCTCTCGCTCGATCAGATGAGTCTCCATTCGTCCGTTTCGTCAAATACACGAGGCTCAAACTATTTTTCCACCGATGGTTCAAACCGCACGATTACGACCTCTCACTCCGATCGAAATAACCTCACACCCAGTGGGAGTTCCAGCCGATTATCGACCGTATCGACTGCGACTACCGGACCCCCGCCTATCGTCCCAGAACAATACCTTTCTCGACCCCGGGATGACCGTATAGTGGATCAGCTGTTTCTGGAGTTGATGCAGAAGCGAGGTTGGCAGAACCTTCCGGAGCAGGCGAAACGGCAGATGTTGGCATACCCGGCTTCGAAGAAATGGACTCTTGTGCACCAAGATCGTTTAACGGAGTTACAAGGCGAACAGAAGCGGAGGCAGAATGCCCGGCAGACTCATGGTCATGATGGGCCTGTGGGGATTCTCGAACGGGCTGATGAAGAGGGAAGCCCGGAGTGGTATGTGAAGAAGGTTATGGATGATACGATTACGTCCAAGCAACTGGCCAGTTTGAGTGTCAGTTTGCGAACACAGCCAATTAGGTAAGTTTATTTGCATATGCTTATGCCATTTGATACGGTGCTGACAATTTCACAGTTGGGTTAGGGCATTTGTCGAAGCTCAAGGCCAAATCGCATTGACAAACGTGCTCATAAAAATCAACCGGAGGAAGGCTTCTGGACCTGTTCCCGCACCCCCGACTGGTGATAAGGATTTGGACCGCGAATATGACATTGTCAAGTGCCTGAAGGCACTGATGAACAACAAGTACGGCGCAGACGATGCTCTCTCACATCAGCAAGTCATCGTCGCGCTCGTCACTTCCCTGCTGTCGCCCCGACTGAACACGAGGAAACTGGTCAGCGAAGTCCTGACATTCCTTTGCCATTGGGGTGAGGGTGAGGGCCACCTGAAGGTCCTCCAGGCCATGGACCATGTCAAGAATTACCAGGGTGAAACGGGCCGCTTTGATGCCTGGATGCGGATCGTCGAGGTTACGACAGACGGTCGAGGTAAGATGGGCAGTTTGGTCGGTGCCAGCGAGGAGTACCGGAGCGGAGGGATTGGAATGGAGAACTTGCTCATGGAATATGCCGTTTCGACCATGATCCTCATAAACATGATGGTGGATGCGCCGGAGAATGACCTGCAGCTCCGATGTCACATTCGAGCCCAGTTCATCTCATGTGGTATCAAGCGTCTCTTGACGAAGATGGAGGGCTTCCAGTATGAGGTGATCGACAAGCAAATTGAACGGTTCAGGGAGAATGAAGCCATCGATTACGAAGATCTCCTGCAGCGCGAGGGCAGCAGCGTCAAGGACAGCATCGAGGGCGAGGTCAAGGACATGTCCGATCCGATGCAGATTACCGATGCCATCGCCTCTAGAATCAACGGAAGCCGGGCACACGACTATTTCCTCTCGGCTATGCAGCACATGCTGCTGATCCGCGAGAACTCCGGCGAGGATGGCTTGCGGATGTTCCAGCTCGTGGATGCGATGATGAGCTACGTCGCCATGGACCGGCGGTTGCCCGATCTGGACTTCCGGCAAGGGTTAACGTTTACCGTACAGAGTCTCTTAGATCGTCTCCACACAGATGCAGAGGCTAGGCAGGTGTACGATGAATCGCTGGAAGCCCGGCAGATTGCCGAAGCGGCGATTGCGGAGCGCGATGAGATGAAAGCACAGGTGGAACTTGGTGCTGATGGTCTCGTCAAGAAGCTGCAGAAGCAGATTGATGAGCAGACAGGCATCATAGAGTTGCAGGCTAGGCAAAACGAAGCTATCAAGGCGGAGGTTGCCGATGTGCAGCGGCTGCGTGCTCAGGAGTTGCAGCGCAATGAACTTGAGACCCGTGAGCTGTATCTCATGCTCCGTGACGCCCAGGATATCGCCGCGTCGAATGCGAAGAAGAGTAACGTCGCAGAAACGGATCCGTCCCAGATGAGAGGTATCATGGACCGTGATCAGCTGCTAGGGAGGCTGGAGAGACAGCTGGAGCGCACCAAGACCCAATTCAAGTTGGAAGGTAGGGTTTGGGGCCAGCATGGACCGTCTGACCGTCTGCGTGAATTACGTGAGCAGATGGATGGAGAAGCCGAACCCAGCGACGATTTCGAGGAGCAAGCTCGTCTGAACTTGGATAACAATGCCTTGGGATCTGTGCATCGCAAGAGAAGCCATGTTGGCTTGACCAATGAAACGGACGAGAAAGGACAGCCGATCTATGTCCCGCGGCCCCGAATGGACCCTTCGCAGGCGACTGGTCTGCTTGGTGAGATCGCTTCTAAGGTCCCTAAGATCGATGCCGATGTCCCTGGAGCGGTGGACGAGGAGGCTACTCCCAAGCCGCCTATAGAACCCGAAGACGAAGTCGCTGCCGAGGAAGCCAAGGCCGGTTTCGAGGGCGCAACACCAGACAAGGCTGGAGCTGCTGCTGCTCCTCCCCCCCCTCCTCCTCCTCCACCACCACCACCACCTCCGGGCATGGCTGGGATGCCCCCGCCGCCTCCTCCGCCCCCGCCGCCAGGTGGTGCCATTGGTATACCCCCTCCCCCTCCTCCACCCCCACCACCGCCGCCCGGTGGTGCAGGTATTCCTCCCCCACCGCCTCCTCCTCCTCCTCCAGGCATGGCTGGGATGCCTCCGCCTCCTCCACCCCCGCCACCGCCAGGTATGGCTGGCGCAATGCCTCCACCACCTCCACCACCGCCTGGTATGAATTTTGGAGCACCTCCGCCACCTCCACCGCCTGGTGCTGGCTTCGGAGGCTGGAGAGCCAATTACATGGCTTCTCAGGGTGTGCCTGGTGCCAAGACTGGTATGATGCCATCAATCCGGCCTAAGAAGAAACTCAAGGCTTTGCACTGGGACAAGGTGGATGCTCCACAAGTCACGGTGTGGGCATCGCATGCCCCAACACCGGAGGACCGAGAGGAGAAGTACTCAGAGCTAGCTAAGAAGGGTGTGTTGGATGAAGTTGAGCGGCTGTTCATGGCGAAGGAGACCAAGATCTTCGGACGCAGTAATGCGGCCAAACAGCGCAAGGACAAGAAGCAGATTATCTCCAACGAGTTATCCAAGACGTTCCAGATCGCAATGGCCAAGTACTCTCAGTATCCGCCTGAGGATATCGTGCGGATGATTATTCATTGTGATGCTGAGATTCTGGATAACATGGTCGTCATGGAGTTCTTGCAAAGGGACGAGATGTGCACGATTCCTGAGAACATCTCTAAGCTGATGGCGCCGTATAGCAAGGACTGGACTGGTCCTGATGCCGCCAGTTCCGATCGGGAGCAGGATCCTAGCGAACTTACTAAGGAAGATCAGATCTACCTGGCTACTGCTTTCGAGTTGCACCATTACTGGAAGGCTAGGATGCGTGCGCTTGCTCTGACACGGTCGTTTGAGCCGGACTACGAGCACATTTCAACCAAGCTTCAGGATGTGGTCAAGGTTAGCGAATCACTGCGTGACTCGGTGGCCTTGATGAACGTCCTTGGATTGATTCTTGACATTGGTAACTTCATGAACGACGCCAACAAGCAAGCCCAAGGATTCAAGCTGGGCTCTCTCGCGCGCCTGGGTATGGTCAAGGATGACAAGAACGAGACCACCTTCGCCGATCTGGTCGAGCGTATCGTCCGCAACCAATACCCCGAGTGGGAGGGCTTTGTGGATGAGATCACCGGCGTCGTCAATATCCAGAAGCTCAATGTCGATTTACTTCGTCAGGACGCCAAGAAGTATATCGATAATATCAAGAACATTCAGGCTTCCTTGGACGCGGGTAACCTGAGCGATCCAAAGAAGTTCCATCCGCAGGACCGTGTTAGTCAAATTGTGCAACGGAGTATGAAGGATGCTAGGCGGAAGGCGGAGCAGATGCAGTTGTATCTGGAGGAGATGACGAAGTCGTATAATGATATCATGGTGTTTTATGGTGAGGACAGTGCGGATGAGAACGCGAGACGGGATTTCTTTGCCAAGTTGGCAGCATTTGTGATGGAGTGGAAGGTGAGAACCATTTTGTTTTATGTGCTTGAATTTGTGCTGACCAAAACAGAAATCCCGAGAGAAGAATATGACCCTGGAAGAAAGCAGGAAGCGTACGGAGGCGTCGCTGGCCCGCAAGCGTATGAATATGAACACTGCTCTTGCCAATGGTGCCGGTACCGCTACCGAGGCGCCCAACTCGCCTGCTACTAGCGGTGCAATGGATTCGCTATTGGAGAAGTTGCGTGCCGCTGCTCCTCAAGCCAGAGACCAGCGTGACCGTCGTCGCCGTGCCAGATTAAAGGAACGACACAATGTCCGCGTCGCGTCGGGACAGCAGATTCCCGAGGACATTGGAGCTGAAGAGGGCACGGAAGCAAACGAGGTCGAGAGCAACGCCGGCCAGGCCAAAGATGATTATGGCGCCAGTGCTGCGGACTCTGGTATGCTGAGTCCTCCTGGCCAGGATGCCGATCGTGGCGCTAGTCCGGAGCCTCAGTCTGAGAGTGAAGATGTCGCGGACCGCGCTGCAAGTATGCTCCAGGGCTTGCGAGACAACACAGGGGATAATGAGCGCTCGCGAAGACGGAGAGAGAGCGCCGAGGAAGAACGACGCAAACGCCGGATGAGACGACGCAATGGTCCTACCAGCGGCAGCAAGGATAGCGGCGATGGCACTGGTGGTTTATCATCTGTCAAGGAGCCAGATCCAATGTCACCTCCGGGGACGGCAGATTCGAATAATACAGATGATGCTAGCTCGCAGCCGCCTTCAACACCAGCGATTGTTGTCTCGCCGAATGATGATGACCAACATGATCGGTCGCCTGATAATAGTCGGCCGAGCAGTAAGCAGGATTCGGAGCCTGAGTGATTTCTATTCTTTTCTTTTTTCTTTTTTTTTTTTTTTCCTTTACCCCTTCTTTTTGAAACATTTTATCTCTTTCTTTTCTTTTCATCTACTGGTAATGTTTGATTGATACACCAACTGATGTCGTCTCGGAATCCCCTTTTCTACTATGTCGCTCAGTGTATAATATTTCTTTTCTCTTTCCGACTGATTTCTAGCCTTGATCTTCTCTTGGTTTTCTTTCTTCTTTTCTTCTTTCCTTTCCTTTCCTTTTCTTTTCCTTTTCCTTTTTTTTTTTTTTTTTTTTTTTTTTTTTTTTTTTTTTTTTTTTTTTTTTGTTGTGTCAAGTACCCCTTGTGCATTGTGTTCTATCTCCGTTCATTCTCATTTCCTTTTCCTCAACGTTCTATATCATACGGCTTCATATCCTGTTTCCATTTCCTGTACATAATGCCTTATCTGACCATAGCCATGTGTCTGTCTCTCTGTCTGTTCTGTTTCTATAACCGCTTGTTGTCGTCTTGCATCCTGTCGTGGTGGATATCTTGACTTGTCCGGTATGGCTGTGCATGCGTCTCTTTGAATCGCAGGCGTGACGAAGCGACGCGTTGTTGGTATATCTCCATGCATTTGACTATTTGGACTTGGATTTTCTACATGATATAGTATGAATTATTAAATAGATTGTGCTCCATCACTGTACTGTATGTACTTTGTACTTGTAGTGAAGCCCTTATCAGATAAAGAATCCACGTGATCAACCCCTCAAATCTCCGGCCTCGAAAAGATCACCTCACATCGACCATTCTCATCCTTGCGCATGCGCTTATCTCTATCCCCAAATTTGCGATGGGTAATCCCTCGCCCATCATGGAGTACTCGCTTCTATTCTGTAGTGACTCTCTGTAGCCGCTATCAACCTACCTTGCGCTCCGCTGCGCCCATATCTACACCCGCATCGACACCGGCGAACCGGATATGGTTTTCAGCTACTCGTCCGGCGCGGTTTAATCTAGATGCGGATTCGACTATCTATGCCTTATCGACGGCATCAGGTCGCGCCGCTATTGCGGTAGTGAGGGTTTCGGGTGATGCTTGTATAGAGGTAAGTCTGGCCGCGAGTGGTGTGCTGTATTGAGGACCTTGCTAACACAGTAGATACGAATAGATATACAAAGCCCTATGCCCGAATACAACTCTCCCGAAACCACGGCTCGCCGCTCTACGAACGCTCTACGAACCGGGACATAATAACGGCAACGTACTAGATGCCGGGGCATTAGTGCTATACTTCCCCGCCCCCAAGACCGTTACGGGCGAGGATGTCCTTGAGTTTCATGTACATGGTGGACCGGCTATTGTCAAGTCTGTCCTGAGCGCAATTGGAGACCTTAATCGTACTGATAATATAATTCGATACGCTGAACCGGGTGAATTCACCCGCCGCGCGTTTATGAATGATCGCCTTGACCTGCCTCAGATCGAAGCGCTTGGAGGGACTCTTGTCGCTGATACGGAGCGGCAACGCCGTCTTGCTGTGCGGGGTGCGAATGATACGCTGTCGAAGCGTTATGAGCAATGGCGACATCAACTCCTGTATGCGCGCGGGGAGCTTGAAGCGCTGATTGACTTTGCAGAAGATCAGCATTTTGATGAATCGGCTGGAGAACTACTTTCATCTGTTGCGGGACAGGTACATGTACTTGTTTCGCAGATTGGTTTCCATATACAGAATGCATCGAAGGGCGAGTTGTTACGGAATGGGATCCGAATTGCGCTTCTGGGTGCTCCGAATGCTGGAAAAAGTTCGTTGTTGAATCGTGTTGTGGGAAAGGAAGCCGCAATTGTTAGTACTGAGGAAGGGACGACGAGGGATATCGTCGATGTTGGAGTTGATTTGGGCGGATGGTATTGTAAAATTGGGGATATGGCTGGGATTCGCTCAGAAGCTGGGTCTGGGGATACAGTTGTGGCGATTGGAGCCGTGGAGAAGGAGGGTATTCGTCGTGCAAGGGAGAGGGCGTTGGAATCAGATGTTGTGATTGTTGTTGCGTCGTTGGATGAGAGTGGTCGGTTGGTTGTTGAGCGGGAGGTCGTTGATGCTACGCGGGATTGCATCGACGATGAAAAATATATCCTGATCGTGGTAAACAAATGCGATCGTCTCCCGTCGACGGAACGAATCACATCCGGTCTAATCCCGCTCACCCTATTCGAGAATGTCACCACGCTCTTCCCAAGCGTCCCCCACAACCGCATCTTCGGTATATCCTGCCAAGAAGCCCAAACCCTACCACCATCGTCCCTAGAACAAAACACAGACCCCGGAAACCTTCAAACCTTCCTCCGCGGCCTTATCAGCACATTTGAAGAAATCGCCTCACCACTGGGAATCGAAGGAGACGACAACGGCCAATACGACCATTCATACTGGGAGGATTCGCTGGGCGTCACGCACCGCCAGAGTTCGAATTTAATGCGGTGTAAGCAGCATCTTGATGACTTTTTGGTACAAACGAAGCCAGGTTCGAATGGCGGTGCTTATGACGGTCCTCTGGGTGAGGAGGTGGATATCGTGACTGCTGCTGAGAATCTGCGGTTTGCGGCTGATGCGCTTGCAAAGATTACGGGGAAGGGAGAGAGTGGGGATGTGGAGGATGTGCTGGGGGTTGTTTTTGAGAAGTGCGTCTTTTCCCTACCCCTGCTATGCGCATGACTGACTTGATTAGGTTTTGTGTTGGGAAGTAATTGCTTCCAGTGCTTGATTTACTACTCGTATTAGTCTTTGAAGAAACATTGTCAGGGCTTCGATACCCGTGAATTTATTAGCGGGATAATAAATGCAAGGCCCTACACCATACACAAGCACAAACACCATGCTATGCACCCCGTACTCCATGTACCCAATACGCCCCTACCCCATTCCACAATGCACAAACACAGCCCCACTAAACCCTACACTTTCTTGACAATAAACTCTTCCAACTTCCCCAAACACCTCCCCTTCCCCACCAACTTCCTACATGCTGGTGTAGTCTCCACATGCTGAAACAACCCCGGCAACAACCGATACTCCCGCCCACACCGCAGGCAGAAAAACGGACACGCATCCTTGATCGACGTGAAGTTCTTGCGCGCTTGGTAGCAGATTTCCACCAGCGTGTTGACTTGGAGGTCTGTGCCGCCGGGACAGTTGCCTGCTTCCAGGTAAATGAGCATGGCTGGGAAGGAGGGAGAGTGCTTTTTGCATGAGGCGCTGTGGCATTTTAGGGTGCAGGGGTCGTGGATGCGGCAGTGCTGGTTAGGCTATATTAGTACATGTTATTGAATACTGGCGGATATTGAGGAGCAAGTCTGAGGACAGGAGTAGGGAAGGGTCTTCACCATGCGCAGATTATTCTCATTCGCAAAATACCGATCACACAGTCCACAGCGATTATGGAACTTGGCATCGTGCGCCTCAATTTTGTCATACGTGTTATACCACGTTCCGCATGATCTGCACGCGTAGTGCGCATCATTGAGATGCTTGATCAGAGCATTCTTGTTGCTAAAGTCTGCCTCGAAGCCGCAGAAGACGCAGATGTGGTGGTGTTTAGAGAACCAGGTGTGGTGGTTTTGGAGGCTGTAGAGCGGAAATCACGCTTGCAGCGTGTGCAGGTGGTTTCCCGTGTGCTTGGGGTCATAGTGGATTTGGGGAATTGGTGTTGGTTGTGTGGAAGAAAAGAGATAAGAGAAAGTCGAGTCCAACGCGAAGCTTACTTGATATATCATGTACCTCTTTTAGTCTATGACTCCGCAATCCCATGGATCGCTTGCGGGTCGGGGAACAGTGAATGAATGCCATTGTCATTAGGCTAGATATAACTATAGAAACAAATGGTATATAAAATTGTTCATGCTGGCAGTTCGTAGACCATGTCAGGAGTGTCACTCCTTTCTGGTGCTGTATATACAGTAGTCACTGATGATGTCTCGGACTGGTCATCGTCATCATTGTCATTTCTGGAGGACTGATTTCGAAGGAGATCGAGTAGTCGTCGCGATATGTCTTGCGTATCGTCTGGTCTATTGTCATGTTCAGAAGCCAGCACGGATACTCGAGGGGTTGGCTGAGGAGAAATGAAAGAAGGAATAGCTCCAAGATCAATGTTAGGCAAGGGTTGTTCTGTTCTGGGTCTCGAATCAGTGATCCCAGCAACCCCCCTAGAGCTACCCCCCAAAACCGTCACTTGACCCTGCATACTATCAAACCACGGGTTGGTAGCAGCATTTACAACCAGAGGCTGAGGCTGCTGGATAAAAGCCGGCTCTTGCATGGAACTCGGTTGCGAAACCCATCCGCGCTCCCCCATCCCCACTGCAGGACCCTGGGCACCTGTTGTCCCCCACCAGTCCGTATCCTGGTTACGCACCTCGCCGCGCATCTGATCTGGTGTAACGGACCTGCTATCTGGTAAACCTTGTTCCAAAGTGCTGGGCAGCTCCTGTGGGGAGGTTCTGTCCTCATGGACTAAAATATTGCGCGCCCCGTTTTGCGAGGAGGGTAACACATATTTGAAAGGCTTATAGGCGGCGGGTGCTGCAGGTGGGAGTGGTAAGTCCCTTGAGACAGTTGCCGGACCATGTTCAACTGAGAGGTAATCTCTCTGGGATTGGCCCAATAACTCTCGTACTTTATTTTTCCGTTCTTCTGGAATCGTCACATGAGGTGCAAACCCGATCCTCTCTGCTGTAAGTGCAGGGTCAAGACCGGCATTTGTCGATGGGGGACTGTTAACCAGCAAAAGCTGAAGAACATCAGGATGTCCATGGTAAGCTGCATAGCGAGCTGGCTGCCACCCCGTCTCATCATTTCGCGAAACAGACGCCCCGTGTTGAAGCATAAGAGAAACCACTGGCAAATGACCACCCATAGCCGCCAAACATAGCGGCGAGTCTTCGTGCAACATGTTCCCGAACTTTTGGTATAAAGATGAGCCTCGATTGAGGAGGTTCTGAACAGCAGCTGCATGCCCTTGGCGACATGCAACGCAAAGGGCTCTGTCTCCCATTGCGTCTCGAGCATCGAGTGATGCGCCTTTGTCACAGAGTAGGTTGAGTAGCGTCATAGAGCCACCTGCAGCCGCTATATGCACCGGTGTTCGCTGATCTCCGCCCGTTTGCGCTTCAAGGTCAGAGCCTGCAGTTAATAAGAGTCTTGTTATCTCTACATTGTTGGCGGTGCATGCATAGTGCAGCGGCGTGAGTCCAGAGTCGCAGCGCGCTTCCAGGGAGATATCCCCCTTGCGAAGAAGCAGTTCTACCACGGCAAATTGCGAATTCATGACACCAAGGTGTAGAGCGGTTCGTCCGGCGATGTTGGTCATTGCTGATAGCCCTTTCTTCTGGTCAAGTAGACTAACAATCTCCGTGTGACCATTAAAAGCAGCCCAGTGTAGGGCTGTCATTCCTGCTTCGTCGACATATCGCGAAGAAGCCTTCTTCTTTAACAAAAGCTCAGCTGCTAAGAACTTGCCCATTGCCGCGGCGCAAATGAGTGGAGACCTCTTATCACTACCTGGTGCATTGATGTTCATCTTGCTATTGAGAAGTACCTCAATGACATCTAAATGGCCTTCTTCACAGGCGTAATGTAGGGCCGTCATTAACGCAGCGTCCTTTGCTTCCACATCCGCCCCTTGAGAATTTAGAAGCTCGACAATATCTTTGTCTCCCCGTTTCGCCGCAGCGTGAAGAGCGGTCATCTGGTTATCCGCTCTTGTATTTACCTTGGCGCGCATAGCAAGCAATATCTGCGTGGCATCAAGTTGGCCATGGTCAGCAGCAACCCAAAGAGCGGTTCTGCCATGGGCATTTCGAGCTTCAACGTCCACATTCTCAGCGAGAAGTAGCCCAAGGACTTCGACATGGCCACGCGACGCCGCAAGATGCAGCACCGTGGACCCTGATCCGTCTGTGACATCAAGCCGTGCATTGTTCTGAATTAGCAAATCCACGACCTCTTCGTTTCCGCAATGAGCTGCCACCAGGAGTGCATTTCGCCGGGAACTGATGTGTCGAGCTTCAACATCGTGATTGCTCTGGATCAGTCGTTCAACTTCAATTCGAGCTCCTGCCTGAGCTGCTTTGACAATTAATGGCGCAGAGACGCCGTCGGCAGTTTTGAGGTCGATACTGATGTTGAAGTTCCGTCCATGGCTCCTTCTTCCAGTTGCTGAATCAATCGACGTTTTAGAAACCCTCGGAAGAACCGACCCTGATGTACTTATACGACGCAGAAACGAGCGGACTTTTTCACTCCTCGAACCTGACGAACGGGTTCCCAGAGATATAGGCATTGACTCCGATTGCCACCGTCGGATATCAGTTTGGTTTAGTGGCCCCGTATTGGGCCTGATGGGGACAGACTTCCTGCGGACGAAGTCCGGGGACACAGATTCATGGGGTTGGATAGATAGCAGCTGTACCGAAGGCGACCTCGAAGGCATGGACAAATTAGGTGTGTTTGCCATGCCTGTTGAATAACCTTCGTCTGTGGGCTCACTACGACCTGCAATGGATAAATGTTCTGATCTCGACCGCGTATGTCGAAGCGCATGTTGATAGGCAGGTGAAGCCATCACTGTGTCATCGAAATCGAAGACTGTCTCGCCAACGGACGACTGCACAACACTCAATGAAGAAGTAGCGGCGTGAGAATTGGCATATTGGCTTCGACGACTTCGAAGAGTTGCAGTATCCTCAGCAGCTTTGCGGATAATCTGACGGTTTTCGACCTTCCGTAGCAATTCGACCTGTTCAGACGACGTGCGACTAGCAATTGTAAATGGTCAGCGCTAATTAAACATACATAATCGACACAACTCACCATTGACAAGCCTGCAGCAGCAACTGCAACGCCAAAACCTGCGCATGCAACCGATCCTGATGATCCTTCATAATCCCCTCATTCCAAACAGCCCTCGCCCTGACCCGAAACCCGACCACGGTCCCCTCCTCCGTCCCCTGAACCAACGAAGCGACTTCCCTAGAAAGGACATCCATGATAACCGAGCAGCCCTCCAGGGCTACATTCAGTCCCTCATCGTGATCGTTGAACACCGGTTGGGAACCATTCGCATTAAATTGCGCCCAGTCGCCTAGCTGAATGAGCGCGGATCTGATGGTTCTCACTTCTCCAATTAGCGACCAGATGGTGAGATCTGCATTTTCGAATTTCCCGCGTAGAGTCGTGAGGCCTTGGGCGGTTTGCAGGGCGATTTGGGCGATTTGGAAAGCGCCGGAAACCAAACCGAACGCTGACACTGGGTCCATTGTTGGTGGCCTTGGTTGGATTGAACGATGTTCAATGACTCATTTGAAAGGATTATTATAAAGGGGAAAGAAGAAGTCAATAGGAGAATGATCCATTGGAGGCCACCAAGTCAGCAAGCGGGGGAGATTGACATCGCGACGTCGATGAGGCTGAGAATAATGACGGATTCTCTTCGTGCAACTACAGCCTTTTTTCTGTGATTTCAGACAAATCCTTCAGCCTGAAAATGTTTCGTTTGGTTGCTGTTGGCGAGTTGAATCGCAGAGATCGTCTCGCACTGCCACATCCAGCGGAGCCTATGCAGATATGAACAAAATCAATGGGGCGCATATAAAAGAGCCCAAGAAATATAAATACACCAATAAATTGGAAAACTATATACCTGTAATCCCGTAAACTCACCCTTTTTTTTCTGTACAAATTCATCCCATAGTCGTATTATTGACAAAAGAAGAAAACCCAAAATCTATAAGACAAAAAGACATCATAATGCGAATCTCAACCCCTCTCTATACAGTGCCGGCAAGGAAGAAAGTCGGGGGAAGCGGGCATGTAAAGAAAACCTGGGTATAATGCAAACGCCACGGATCCGAATGAGCTCGTCGAGGTCCAACCGTGAACTTTTCAAGTTTATGCTCCAATGGCATTCTTGACCCATTTCTCCAAACCGCCCTTGGCAATAATCTCCTGCACATTCGGCGGGAGTTCACCGACCTTATGCGTCCATTTGGGTCCGTTTTCACCCTCCTGGATCTCCAGGCGGCTTCTCCGGACATCCCAGGTCAAGATCCAGCCAGTCCGGCGGGTGAGAGCCTTGTCGGAGTTGAAGGATTCCCGAAGGCGGCTGATCAAACGGGGAACTTCCAGACCCATCAGGGCATTGTTGATGCTGTTTCTGGAGAAGATGTTTCCGAAGCTTCCAGAAACAACAAGCGGGATGCGCTTCGCCAGCAGAGCGGTGGCGGCTTGTTCTCTGGAGCTACCGCAGCCAAAGTTGAAGCCAGTCACCAGGATGTCGCCAGCCTTGGCGATCGATGCGAACTGCTCGTCGTAATTTTCCATGCATACCTGAGCCATGGTCTCCTCCGAAACGTTGTCCTGGTAGGTGTACTTGCCGGGGTAGATACCGTCAGTGTTGATGTTGTCGCCGTCACAGAAGACGATTTCTCCTGAAACACGCTCGGGGAAACCAGGGTACACTTCTGTGAGAGCGTCATCAGCGGCCTCAGTCTCAGCACCCGGTTCAGGAGTGAACTGCTTCTCTCCGTCGGCGACAAGGTCGTCAATCTGACCGATCACCTTTTCGAGGGCTTCCTCAGCGGTAAGCATCCGCTCTTCCTCACGGATACCATCACCCTCACCGCGGACAACGCCATTCCATCCCTCGGGGGTCTTGTACCAGCCGGGTCCGCTGAGCTTTCCACTCAAGGCACTGGCGGCAACAATTTCAGGGCTGCCGAGGTAAGCTTTGGCGTCGGTACTGCCCATACGTCCCTTGAAATTACGGTTGGACGCACTGATACCAACCTCACCGGGTTCAAGCAATCCAGTACCAAGGCCGATGCAGGGTCCGCAACCAGCTGGGAGAGTCGTAGCGCCAGCTTCCAGCAAGATTTGCCAGTCACCGGTTTCTTCGGCAGCCAGTTGCTCCGGAATCGATGCGGCGGCGATGTAGAACTTCACTCCCTCCGCAACCTTGGGGACCTGTCCACCATTCTTGTCCGCAGCCTCTCTGAACACCTTGGCAGCGGCGGCGATATCGGAGGCTCTCGAGTTGGTGCATGAGACAAGGTAAGCCTTGTTGACTGGGATGTTTTGTGCTTCCAATTCACCGAGAGCGGTGGCAACCTTGACGGAGTTGGGACCAGAGACGTAAGGAGTGAGGGTAGAAAGGTCAAGGAAGAGCTCCTTGGCATATTTCGCGCCCTTGTCCGCCTTTATGGGGTTGGAGAATAGTTGATCGAGGATGGGGTGGGTGAAATGCTGAGCAGCCAAGGTCTTGTAAGGACCGTCGGAAAGACCCATGGCGGCTGTAGTGGCCTTGCCCTTCAACCAACCCTTCAGGACATTGTCAATTGGGAAAAGACCAGACAGAGCACCCCACTCAGTGGTCATGTTGGCGATGGTTAACCGCGAGTCCACGGTCAAACTGTTCATGGTCTCTTCCGAGCCCGTGAATTCAATAGCGTGGTTCAAGACGTCGTCCTTGTCGAACAAGCCGCAGAGTGCAACGATGATATCCTTACCCGTCACACCCGGGGGTAGAACACCCGTCAAGTTGACCCTAGCAACCGGGGGAATCTGCCACCACGTCTTACCGGTGGCCCAGATACTGGCACCGTCGGTTCTGACAATCGGGGTACCCAAGCAGCCAACACCACCGTACATGTTACTGTGGCTGTCCGAGGCCACCACAAGCGTACCGGGAAACGCAAAGCCCTCTTCAACCATCACCTGGTGTCCGATACCACGTCCGGCAGGATAGAACTCGACACCACGCTGCTTAGCGAACTCCTCAATTTGGCGATACTTCTGGAGATTCTTGTCCGACTTGTTCTGCACATCGTGGTCGAGGGTCATGACAATCTGCCTCGGGTTGTGCAACTCGGAGGCTCCGATAGACATGAACTTGAGCGCAACAGGCCACGAGTTGTCGTGGGTCATGCAGCGGTGCGGCGAGATGGTCACATAGTCGCCGGACTTGACGAACTTGTCCTTGGCCAACCCCACAGAATACTGCTGGACAATCTTCTCAGTAAGAGTTTGGGGTACGGCTCTCGACGTCTGGAGGGACGAGTAAACGGCCGCGGAGGCGGGATCGTCCATCTGGGACTCGAAGACCTCTTGGAAGTAGAATCTCGATGAGGCAAAGGCACGGCGTTGGAAGTTGTTCGGCACCGGGCAGCGCAATATCGCTCTGCCCGAGCCGCCGGAGGTCATTAATCGTGACTGCATCAGGAAATTGTCAGTAAGGACCAATTGAAGAGATACCGTACTGGGCACTTACAGTCATGCTACCGGCGTTGAACTCGACCTCGACTTCAATTCTTCCGGGACCGTGGATGAGCAAAAAAGACTGGCAAATAAAAACCCCGACATATTCCATTACAACCGATTAGTCATTTGGAGAATTCGTAGCAAACTACGCAAACATGCCGAGACTCCGCTATCGGAGGATCACGTGCGTGCCGCGTGAACTATGAGGGGTCTACATTAGATATTGGAGAGAAAAGATAGATATTCTACAGTTCGTGATAATGCAAAATGGTTGATTGATTTATATTGAGAAATTGGATGTGTAAATTTCATCTCAGCTCAGTCTCTCTAGTCAGGATAAAGCTTCCACAGCATACCGTGACATGGCGGGGTATGACTCAAGGTACTCGACGGGAAATGAAGAGTTGAAAAAAGAGAAAATGCATTGAAACCATGTCAATCAGACCTATTTATATTACACTCTAGAGTCCTTTTTAAATATTGTGCTGCGTCTTTAATTGCATGATTATATGAATCACACCGGCAGCCCCGCCAAGTCTGTATAACTTCTCTCACTTTTTCTTCCCTTCCCTTTCTTTTTCCCTCATCCAACCCAATTCTTCCCACAAAAACTCCAATCACTATGCCTACCAGAGAGGAAGTTGCCTACTTCGGAGCTGGTCCTGCACCGCTCCCAACCTCCGTCGTCGAGGCCGGCGCAAAGGCCTTTGTCAACTTCAACGACTCCGGCCTGGGTCTCGGAGAGGTCTCGCACCGTTCCCCCACTGCGAACAAGATCCTCGAGGATACGAAAGCGAATTTGAGCACCCTCCTGGACATTCCCGATAACTATGAGATCCTTTTCATGCAGGCGGGCGGCAGTGGCGAGTTCAGCGCTGTGGTGCAGAACCTTGTCTCCGTGTGGATTGAGCGCAGACGGCGCAGGGCTGAGGCCGATGCTTTGGCGGCGAACCCGAATGAAGATAAGGCGCGGGTTGAGGAATTAGTCTTCCAGAGAGTCCAGAAAGAGGTCGAGGAGGAATTGAAGCTTGACTACCTCGTTACTGGAAGCTGGTCGTTGAAGGCGTCGCAGGAAGCTGCGCGGTTGATTGGATCGAAGTACGTCAATGTTGCCCTTGACGCGCGCAAGGCCAATGATGGCAAGTTCGGTACCATCCCTGCGGAGGAGTCGTGGTCTTTGACCCCGACCAAACGTGAGGGTGGTAAGGGTTCCGCCTTTGTCTACTTCTGCGACAATGAAACAGTCGATGGTGTCGAGTTCCAAGAGTTCCCTAACTCGCTGGAGTCGCAGGGTGGTGATGAGGAGGATGAGCGGATTGTCGTTGCAGACATGAGCTCTAACTTCATCAGCCGGAAGGTCGATGTCAGCAAGTACTCGGTCATCTTTGTAAGTCTGCCTCAAATAAGATATCCTCTGGATGGTACTGATACCAGGACTATAGGGCGGCGCTCAAAAAAACATCGGTGTTACCGGTATCACCATCGCTATCATCAAAAAATCACTTCTTCCCCCGCAGACCGCAACACCCCCAGCAACCCTTCTCCACCGCCTGAACATCGGAGGTCTCCCAGGCCCTGTTGTGTTCGACTACGCCACCATCGCGAAGAACAACTCCCTCTACAACACGCTCCCCATCTTCAACCTCTGGGTCGCCGGCCAGGTCATGTCCGATCTTGTCCACGCATACGGCGCAAAGAAGGTTTCCGGCCAGGAAGAGGTCGCCAACCGCAAGGCTAATCTTATCTACGGCGTGCTGGACAAATACCCGCAGGTGTACTGCGTTGTCCCTGACAAGAGCATTCGCAGCAGAATGAACATTTGCTTCCGTGTGCACGGCGGTGACGCTGAGAAGGAGAAGGCGTTCCTGGCTGGAGCTGACAAGCGCATGCTCCAGGGTTTGAAGGGCCACCGCAGCGTCGGTGGTATGCGGGCTAGCAACTACAATGCGGTTCCTGTGGAGAACGTCGAGAAGCTGGTTAAGTATCTCGAGGACTATGCCACCGGACAGTAGGCGCATAGTTAAAATGGGACCAAAAATGATATACTGCACGAAGAGTCTGCAGGTAAGATATCGGAATAATCAACATCCAAGTGTGAGAGGTTTTGTTCGTTCAACATAATGCCCATAAGTTTCATACAGTGCATGGGAAAAGGGAGTTTGTTATAATACATATTAGAACGGCCTGATAAGCCATCACAGCTTCCATATGGCCCAGTCTTTTAGATCGAGTTCACTAATAATTCCTCGAAGAGGGCCCTGGGCTTCCGTTCCTTGCGCCCAGAGTTTCGGTCCTGCCATATAGTTAATAAAACCTTCGGGCCCAGAGACGAGAATAATCTTGTTCTTAGGGAAGTGAGAGCCACTAATTTGCGCAGAATCAATGAAGTCCGAGATGTCCTGCTTTTTTATGAACGTCTTCTCCTCGTCGACAAAATAGTCCACTGTCACTTGTCCTGGATATTGTAACTTGAGGGCTTCTAGTTCCCGAACAACTAACGACTGAGTTGTCGCATCTCTGTCCGTATCTCCCGTGACTGGCACGGGACTTTTTGGTGATGTCCTAGGGCCAAAGAACCAGAGCCTTCGAGGCCCCTGAGGCTTCGCACTGGTATCGTTTGCACCGCCCGCACAGTCCTCTCGTCTCCGGTTTGCCCATAGTATATGTATCCTTGGTTTGCGCGTCTCGTCCGTCTGGTGCAGAAGTGTATGACCGGCCTGTAGAGCTGGCGCAATGCCTGTCCCACCAGCGATGAACAAGATCTCCTGGGTCTGCCTTGGGATCTTGTATTCAATCTTGGGTCCCCGTATCTCAACCAGAGAACCTATATCCAAGCCATGTAGGTACCGCGACATCTCACCAAATGCATCTTTCCGGATAAAGAACCGTAGCACATCCTCGTCCTGGTTGTCCGTCGTCGACTTGACCGGTAGGGGGGTGTAATCTCTACCAATCTGCAGCTGCGGCTGCTTGAACATCACACTCCACACTCCGGTCTGCCATGACGCTTCATAGACGGTCGAGTTTAGATCTGGTTTCGGTGGTTTGAGGGTAAATATACTCCCCGTCGAGGATACGGGTTCTTTCGCGATTAAGGTGTACTTGGTGAAAGCGAAAGGATTCAATGTCGAGGGTCCATCTTGCTGCGATTTTCGAATGTACGCTCCAATTCCAGCGGCTGCAACACTCACGGCGGCCAGTTTCACCCAGAGTCGTTGTTTCGGAGGGGCTGGTTCGGAGGATGCGCAAGAGGACGAGAATGAAGCATGGCGATTCCAAGACTGGGAGACGTATTTCCCACTGATCGAGAAGGGCAGACGGAGCGGATGCAAGCCCTGGTCGAGAATTCGGGGCTTCATAGAGAAGACGCGGCGGTTATTCTATAATTATTGAATCTTACGTCCATAATTCTTTTCCGATAATTGATGCTTACCGTTTAGTGCTGACGCTAACCCGAATAGGACACGGCCCCCTGGGCGGGCGATCATCGCTGAGGCTTCAAAACACCAGAATAGAAACTGCGATAAAAAGACTACTTTCTGGACCGAAATAGAAGACTCCTAGTTTATTGCGACACTGCGAGTTCTACGTTGAAAATATCCGCGTTCGCCTTCTTGTATTATCTCGCCTCTCCTTTGTCTTCCCTCCGTCAATGGCGGTCTCAAGACTCTGAATTGCCCGCCCTTTCGTCCTCTCTCCTTCGATTGATTCGAACTACGTGAAACCTGTTGATTTGTCCTCCATACTCCCATTATGGCCCCGTCCCGACCAGGCAGATCGAATTCTACCAATGCGCCCCGGGATTCCCTAGAACTTGCCTCTCTTGCGTCCTCATCCCCCGACACTACCACCAGATCTTCCCGTTCCTCCTCTCCCTCTGGTATATCATCCTCGCGCAAACTCTCGCTCGAAGAACAGGACCCGCTAGGCGATTTCTCACATGGCGATCCAGAATCCGGGCATGGGAGATCGGGTGGACGATCGTATTCTATATCCTCGGCCTTTGATTTCGGGAGGACGTTGTTTCCGCTCTCCTCCACTGCAGCTGGGGGTTATGCTCCGATAGGCGCGCCGTCGACATTAGATCGAGAAGGGGTAGCGGATGGATCATTGGAAAGGCATAAAACGCTTACGTATCTAAATGGGCTGTCATTGGTGGTTGGCGTTATTATTGGTTCGGGGATTTTCTCGTCTCCTAGCCAGGTCAATGCGAATGCTGGGTCTCCGGGTGCGTCGCTGATTGCATGGGTTGTGGCGGGTGTGTTGGCGTGGACTGGTGCCGCTAGCTATGCTGAGCTGGGAGGCGCAATTCCTCTTAATGGCGGGTCGCAGGTTTACTTGTCCAAGATCTTCGGAGAACTGGCCGGTTTCCTCTTCACGTGGTGTGCAGTTTTGGTGCTTAAACCAGGAAGCGCAGCTATTATCGCCATTGTCTTTGGGGAATATGTCGTGCGGGCCGCTGTTGGTGCGAATGTCGAGCAGGTTAATCCCTGGATCGGTAAAGGTGTCGCCTTCGGTGGTGTCTTTGCCGTGATTTTAGTGAACTGCATATCTACGAAAGTGGCTACCCGTGTCGGTGACATTTTTATGATATTCAAGTTTATCGCCTTGGTGGGGATTACTGTCATTGGGATTGTGGTCGCTATCACGGGTGTTTCGTCTAGTGGGAGTGCGAGTAATGAATGGAAATCTGGCTGGTTCCGAGGTACCAACACTGATATATCCGGCTGGGCTGTCGCATTGTATGCTGGTCTTTGGGCGTTTGATGGTTGGGATAACGTGAGTTTAAGCCGAGACGAGAATCATCAGATTCACATATTGACTGACATGCAAAGACAAACTACGTGACAGGCGAATTCAAACGTCCGAACCGCGATATTCCCCGCGTTATCCATACAGCCATGCCATTGGTAATCCTCTGCTACCTAATGGCAAACGTCTCATACTTCTTAGTCCTACCACACTCGACAATCGAAGCAAGCAATGCCATCGCTGTCGAGTTCGGCGAGCAAGTCTTCGGAACAGCAGGAGCCATAGTCCTAGCCCTAGTGGTCTCTATAAGCTGCATCGGCGCCCTTAACGCAACAACCTTCACAAGCGGCCGTCTAGTCTACATTGCCGGAAAAGAAGGTTACCTCCCAGCCCTATTCGGCAAACTAGGTGCCTGCGGTTACTCCTCAGCTACTTCTTCACCACCCCTCGACAACCGCTTGCACCGTCGTCTGTGCCGCTTCTTCGGTGACACCTCCACCATCGGCCGTACCCCGGTCTACGCAATGGCTCTTAACGGTGCGCTGATCGTTATTTACATCATTCTTGGCGAGTTCAAGACCCTAGTCACCTTCTACGGTGTCGCGGGGTATACATTCTACTTCCTCACGGTTTTGGGTTTGATAGTCCTGCGCATTCGCGAACCGTACCTGGAACGCCCGTATAAGACATGGATCTCAACCCCGATCATCTTCTGCTGTGTTAGTCTTTTCCTGCTTAGTCGAGCGGTTATCTCAGAGCCCTTGCAGACGTTGATCGTGGTCGCATTTATTATCGTCGGTGTCCCGGTGTATTACTGGCGTATCTACCAGCGGGATGGCAGATTGCCGTTCCCTTGCGGATGGAAGTTGAACTGGAAGTTCTGGAAGGGGAGGCCATAATTTTTCTCTGTGTCTTCTATTTTTCGTTTTCTTTGGCGAACGCCACGCATGATGAATTGATACTGATACCCATGCATATGTATAATTGAGAGTTACCGGGGGTAACTAAATGAAAGCTGGGCTTACTTTTGACCTTAATATTGTCTTTATAGATGCAGTTTCTACGATTGATGTCAGGAAAGGGTGAGGGCATGGCATGGTATACATAACAGTGTATAGAATCATTAATCTTAATCTCATAACTCATGATACTCGACTTTGATGCATTGCGCCCAGTCCATCCCATAAATCTGCGCGTGAGAGGGTAGTGTTTGCATCTCCGAAGAATCGCAGTCCAGCACAATGCTCGCTCAACGGATAAATTCTAGTCGAAATAACCGTCCGCTCGTTCACGAAGACTTCTAGCACGCTTATATCGAAGTATGCATGTACGCGTAACGGTTCTTCGCTTTCCGTGCCGGTTTCTGGGTCTGAAGTGGTGAAGAGGGTGTGGGGAGCTTTTTCGGGGAAATTGTTGATATTGAAGTCGGGGATAGGGTTGGGCCGGTTGATTTGAAACGTTTCGGTTGATGGGGTCCAGGTAAGTGTTGTGCAGTTTGAGTCTGAGATGATTTAGTTATGGAAAAGGTTAAATGGATTATGTGGGAAGACATACCACCATGATCAATTTCTACACCAACGCTCGTACATTGGTTTCCAACGGCAAACTCAGCATCCAGTTCCCATTTTGATGTCGTCAATGGTAATGTGAATCCTTCCGGATTCAATTTCAATCCACTAATCTGCCTCCTGCTCGCATTCGCACGAAGCTTTTCAATTCTTTGATCGGGCTGTACACCCAATGTCCGAATAGTACATGTCCCGGTTCCTGCATCCTCCGTCTCGATAGAAGTAATCGATTCCAACTCGGATCGACGCGCCCTCTTCACATTCTGTAATGTCGTCAGACTCATAACTCTTGGAAGAGAAATAAGTCCGCTCCAACCCTGCGGATGACGGAGGGCATCTGGTAGATCTTCCTCCATTATCCAGCCGTAAACGAGTTGTTTGCCTGTAACAGGATCGAAGAATGCATTCGCAGCGTAGAAGCAGCCGTGATCGAAGATACCAGCAAATCCATAGGTTCTGAGGGCGTCCGATGTGCTTTTTCGCTCAGAGCGAGGGCTAACAGACATCCAAAGCTGTCCTCGCGGCGCTCGCTTTGGCTGGTGTCCGGTCTCCTTGCACCCCTCTGTCCCCACCACAACAAAATCTCTTGAAGTTCCTTTATCATCGGATAACGTCGCCAACGTCGCAACCTCCCAATTAACACCAAAATCACCAGACCACCTTGATGGCCGGAAATTCAACCCAACATTAATCAGAGGTCCGATGTACTTCCATTCACGCAAATCCTTGGGGTTAACAGAGTACACAAACACAGTCGGGGTCTCTGCAGCGATACCTCCGGAGATGAATCCGTAAAGGTCACTGTCTGATCCGGTGTGCATTGTCGGCCACGAACTGATATACGGATCTCTCCAACCAGTCACGTTCACATTTTCCGGTGGACCTGGTAATATCGGGTTGCAATCTGGGCGTTTCCATGTTTTACCCCCATCTCGCGAAATTGCCATACTCAGCGTCTCGCAGCCAATAGTATACGGCATACTGTAATGGATAGGCAAATGTCTCACAGACGTGTACAAGTATGTAAGAGCACCAGGTTTCCCATGAGCATCAGTAGGTCGCATACACCCCGTAAAAACACCGCAGCGATCATATTGAGTTGACGGTGTTAGGCACGGAACCGGGGATGTCTCCCACTCGACGAGATCCCGGGAGACGGAGTGGCCCCAGGATACGTTACCCCAGTCGTTTTCTTTCGGGTTCCATTGGAAGGACAAATGGTAGAGTTCGGTTGTCGGATCGTACCCTGGACCGCAGGGGTCGTTTAGCCAGCCATGGGGTGCTGTTAGGTGGAATGTTGGTCGCCAGGCGGGTTCGGTTTTTCTTTGGTGCTTGGACTTGTCGTGGTAAGCAGTCATGTCATGTCGATAGGGTTGTGCATGCGTCTCGTGGATACCCGGTTTATCCGCACTTTGCGCTCTTGCGAGGACAGCCATATTGATGCGGTTCCGGTCAATGAATTTGCCCTAGTGTAAGGGAAAATCGACCGCAAAAATATTGTGAACGCAGTAAGCTAGAGAAATCAGCAAGGGTGCGGAACCAGCCATTATAAAAAGAAATACACGCCATAGTCGCTATTTTTGAGATCTTCGGGGAAACACCGGATGCCAGGCATATCTGCAGTGATTCGCAATTGGGTTTATCTCCGAGGAGCATCAGATCAGTAGCCCTGTGGTTATCTATCCGAAGCTTAGCCACTGCCTCTTTGTTCTGGCCCCCGGAGGTTGTTCGGAGGCAACGTAAATTGTCGTCTATGGATGAATCACGGGAGATTGTCGGGGAAATTCTGCGCCACTGAAGATAAAGGTTGTTCTCCGGCATGCCGAAATGAGTGAAGCTTGATACACGTACTCTACTCGCACTAGAAACCTGTTAGAGATTTTTCCACTTCTGGAAAGAGTTGGCCTTCGAGATTGTGACCGGCAAGAAGCGCAGCCGAGATCTGCATATTGTACATTGGGTGGTTATATATCCACATGAACGTGTTTTCATGTCCGTTGTATTAATGGAACGTGTAAAGTCTCGTTGAAATAAATACACTATATATATTACAGTCCGACTAGCCTGTGCTAATAGTAGGAGAAGTAGATGACGTGCCCAGATAATCTTTGAACCTCTCCAGGAATGGGTGATTTCCACCACGAAGGCTACTCAGTAGTAGCAAGTAATCCGCTGCTAGTTCTTGAGAAAGTGATACAGGGTTAACCGTCGTTGTTGTCGCTGTTGTCGACGGTGTTTGTGCAAGGCTTCCATTCGACGAGGTCAAAGGGAAGTTGGCTCCCGATGACGGATCGACCGTGGAGAAAATATTGATTGCACTGGTAGCAATATCGAAAAGTTTTTCGACCTGGTATAGTAAGCAACTAGACTAAATGACCCTGAAAACCATAACCTACCAGACCTATTCCATGTGCCTCCATGGAACTAATGCGTAATGATTTGCATATTTGAAGCGCCTCATTCGCAATAAAGATGGCGTAGTTGAAGGTGAGTTCAGGGCGATCCGAGATGGGCCCCAAGAGACCATGGGTGAGACATAATACCCAGAGTCGATTTTGCAGCCATTTCTGTGTTATGAAGATATCTGCACATTGCGTTTCTTTTAGACCAACGGCTTGATGTGCTGCTTGGGCTTCATTAGGAGCCGCCTTGGTTCGTTCAAACCAGTCGTACCCTTTATACCGTTCCGAGAGGCTCACCCGGGCGAGATTCTGATGAATAATCAAAGCCTTGGCTGCTGTTAGCCTCTCACAGAAGCCATTATTATCGATGTTGCATCGCCGATTCCAACAATCTACAACATCCTCATCAATTGCGTCAAATAACTCCATTAGCCGAGCCAATCCCATCATGCCTTCGGCGTCATGCTCGTTGTGGACAATAATCCCGGAAACAACGCGGTGAGAAGCACCGTGGATGAATTCATGAACAGAGCGCATGCTGAACCCTGGCTTCCCCCGAAATGTAATAGGATGTCGACGTTGAAGTGCATAAGCTCTTATTCCCCAACAATATCAGCTAAAGTGCATCTCAGATACTATCGAAGCAACACACCTTTCTGTAATAGATAACACTAAATAGGTTCGTAGCCGTTGTCCCTTTTCTTCACTAGATAGATCAAGGTAGGAGTTAGGATCATTTAACCCGAGAGTTGCCGCGAGATCCAATGCTTCTCGTAAACGAAGCCACGCGGCATTATGCTGATTGCTGCCAAACAAGCAGCCAAAGAGGAAGAAGCTGGTTAGGACGGCCTCGATCGTCGGGTTTTCACCGAAATCCGAGCAACTGCGCATTTTTGTGGCTTCATGCATCATGGACCTCGCCTGGTTGGCGCGCGATGAAGACGTAGGCCGCTCGTCAATCTCAATGGGCTGTGTGAGTGAAAAGGCGCACAATGACAACAACATGGCACCAAATTGAGGGTTTTGCCGGTGCTCCTGCGACAACATGCGGATAAACATAGACGACCGATTCAACACAGGTAAAGTTGGATGTAAGCGATCAAAATAAACGTCGATCCACGGGATCATGTTCGTCTCAATGATCGAAGATGGCCATACTGACCTTGACCGATCGTATCCTGGCGACTGAGAGAGTATGTTCGAAATTGGGGCGCTACTTGTTGAAGGTGAAGGTTCAGCTGGATGGTGGTGTTCCATGACCGGAGTATCGGATACACCTTGAACAATGGAGGGAAGGGAAGGTCTCAAATAGACATTAGTCCCTGGGAAATCGAAAACTGGGACCTGAGCATGTAGATTATCTGGGAGCCAGTACTCCACATCATTGCGCTCAACCCAGCCAACGCCATTTTGACTACGAGGGTCAATTGAAGGCCCCGGTGCACGAGTGGCCCAGCCAGGGCCAACAGACGTCATTGTGGGAGCTGGAGCCAGTCCGCTTCCATTCATAGGCGCGGGAACTTCACCCGGGATGGGCCATTGAGGCGCATCAGTCATGGGCATAGCCTCCGTCTTTACCGGCTCCCCAGAAACCGAAGGAGCAGGGGGTGACCCTGTCTGGTACTGAAAAACATCTGGACCGGAGCTCTGGTTACTTTGAACCTGGGTTTGAACATCATGAGGGCTCTTCTGTGCAAGTTGAGGGATCTGTTGCTGCCGGATTTGCGATACACGGCTGGGTCGCAGATATTAGACGGATGGTTCCTAGTACTTAGAAGTTATTTCACTCACTGTCCAGTCGGACCTCGCTTCTTCTGAGGCTGGAAAAAGGTGCATTCGAAGCCCATTGAAACACATGCGCGACATGGTTGTGACAGACTGCACTGTAGAGATGTTAGCACCTATCATATCCCCCGAATATGGAAAAGGCCAAATCACCTTTATTTTCCTGAATTTGCACTGATCGCAGGCTCTTTTAGCGATGGTCCCCGGAGCTTTCTTAGAAGAACGCGACTGGGTGCGGATGGCACCGGTCGGTGTCGCGGATGTAGCGTCATTGTCCGCATTAGAAGAAGGAGAGGAAGGAGAAGCAGCCGGGTTCATGATGGCATGGTCAGTGACTCTGTAGAAGACAATGGCTGACAGGACCGCTGCTGTTCAACCATCTAATAGTAGTTGTAGTAGTTGGTCGTCGTCGCAAGTAGTTCGAAAAGGAAGTCGTGGAGTCGGGAGGGAAAAGGTTGGCCCGCGGAGAGAGCCCCCCTCAACTGAATTGATTAGATCATATCCAGAGATGTGATCTTCCGTTTGGAGCGGACAAGAAGCCAAGGAAAGATCAATCCCCAAATGTTAATTCCTCATGGAATTCTCTACTGTTTCTTTCTGATAAGAAAGAGAAACCATACCCTTGTCATGGTGCCGTTCGTAAATCTCCACAGTTTCGGCTTCATCTCCATCTGGAGTTTACCCCGAATTTCCCCACGTAATTCTGCAGGGCATTCAAGAGATAACATGATACAGGATATTTTGTGTAAAGTTACAATAAGATGTTTGACGCGAAGAGAAATACAAAGCAAACATACAAATTGCATCTCTGTAATTATGATCTTTTAACATACAAGATGCCATCAATTAATGTAGATAAACCCACTCGCAAGACGCCCTAACACCATGCAAATACTCTATTAAGTGATGCGACTCAAGCCTGAGAAGGCTTGAATAACTCCGGCTTCATGTTGATCTTGCAGAGTTTGGCGACACAACCACTTAACTGCAGAAGTGATTGCACGCCGTCTAAGATGCGCATGTGCGTGAATCCAATCTCCTTGATGAACTCTAACTTCGAATGCTCAGAGAGCGTCGGGATAGTTTTTGTAACTCGAAACATAGTACTGATAATGTCGTGGGACGAATACCCGAGAGTCCTGGAACCTGGTGAGTTTCCATGTACTCGCATCGTAGGAGGGAAGGATAACATACCACAACTCATTCAACGTCTCCAAGGCCACATCTACCTTGCCTTCCCAGCAGGCCTTAATCATAGCCTGGACTTTGATTGGATGCGGGCTATCAACCACCCGGAAGACGTTGTCACCGCTCACGAAACCAAACCCAGACCAGGTACTTTGTAGGTTGTTGATCGCTTGACGCATGTCACCTTCAGCACTAAATACCAACGCAGCCAGTCCATCTTCTGAGTGTTCGACCTTCTCGGCCTCACACACCTGTTTCAACCGTTTCACCACTTGGGCGTCGGTCAACCGAGAATAGCGGAGGATTGCGCATCGAGACTGGAGGGGTTCGATGATCTTATTCGACTGGTTACAGGCAAAGGCAAATCGAGTTGTAGTAGAGTAAATTTCCATAGTTCGCCGTAACGCTTGCTGCGCACCCGAGGTCATACTAATAAGGCAAGCGATCAGCTTATCGGTCAAGGGTGAACAAAGTTCTTTTGATCATACCTGTCTGCTTCATCAAGAATAACAAGCTTATGACGACCAGGAGAGAGCGTGACTTTCTTTTGTGCAAATCCTTTGATTCGATTTCGCACGACATCGATACCTGGATAAACCCGTCAGAGGACATTGTCTCCCAGAAAAGACCTTGTCAAACAGCAATCTCACCTCTCTCGTCACTAGCATTCAGCTCCAATACAGCCTCCTTATACGAATCGCCCAGTAGTTGTCTAGCCAGACACAGAACCGACGTCGTCTTTCCGATACCAGGCATGCCTGAGATAATAACGTGCGGCATATTTCCATCTTTAGCGATAATCTTCAACCGCTCAATGGTCTCCGTGTTGCCAACAATATCATCGAGGAAGATCGGACGGTATTTTTCGACCCTAGAGAGTATCTTTGGTCAGTCTGGCTTCTCCAGATTTCTTCTGCATATCGGGTCAACTCACCAAGGGAGCTCATAGTCTTGCGGAGCTCCAGCCGTGTTAGGCTGGAGACCATTGCGAGCTGCACTGGCTGAGGATTCTGCCTGTACCATTTTGAGAAGAATTTCCAAGAAAGAATAACGTAGACCTTATCGTTCCTCTGCCAGAAAGCTTTTGTCGAGACCGAGAAGTGATTTACTCGGAAGGACGCGAAAGTCCGACGCGTCGAAAGACACCGAATAAGATCCCCGCGGTGGGATCGCGATTATGCTGCTCGATAAGGCTATGTAATCACCAAAGAGCCTAATAGATCACTCGGTGCTTCTGAATTCTGTAAAAATGCCGAATAAATAGTCAGAACTGTGATTCACCTACTTTGTTCAAACGTGACTGTCATTACCTGCACTTTATGCTATCTCCGACACCGTCTCTTTCAAGTTTCTACCAACACCCATAATGCACCAGTTATTACGAGCGTCTACAACATTTTCATGTCTTTCTACCTGCTATAGCTTACAGGTTCACTGAGCTCTCAATTCTGCCCTGTTACCTCCAGCTAAATCCTCGTTATTCTACCCATTCACACACACGGCATACCGATACCTCCTCGCTTACTGAGTGCTACACGAGCTCACACGAAATTCTAAATACATTTGCAACCTAAAGAGATCAATACCTACTTCGATCGACCTCATATACAACAACATCCCAAGAACAGACCCAAATACACCTACACTATGGGAACGACCTCAGTCCGCCGCAACCTCTTCAACAGCAACCTTAGCAAACGCGCCATATCATCCGTTCCTCCTATGCAAGGTGCCAGTAACAACACCTTCAATTTACAATCTTCTTCTCATCCCAGCTCCTCAGAAACGAATCCATCGTCATCGAGTAACACCAGGCCCACTGATAGTGACGAAATCGTGGTCAAGGACAAGAATGGCAGCTATAAACTCGATATACCCGTGCTCCCTATGATCGTGGGCGAAGATGGGGAGGAGATTGAAGGTTTTGATGAGGGGCACAATGGCGGAGGGCCGGGTTCTGCTGTCGATTCAACAGGGGAGACCGAACTTGGAGGACGCGAGAAAGAGAGTATGTTACTGGATGGATCGATCTCTTTGCTTTTTTACGCCGAAGCTTATGACGATATGACTGACATGGCTCCGGTTAGGGATTGAGGCTAGTTTGATAGAGATGATGTGCCGCAATCGGAATAGGCATATGAGCAGTGACCCAGCTGGTACATTTACATATCTTTGCTCCCTACGTGCCGACATTTGCTTACTTCATCAGAAATATACAACCTAGTCCAGCAGAGCCTTCGAAACAGGGTAGCAGCATTGGAGGAAGACAATTGGATGTACGAACCAGAGGTCGAACCACGGGTTTAACGCCTGAAATATGATTCATCGTCACGCAAAAATTCTATCCTTATTATTCAAATGCTGGATGGTCAACATATCGGTTACGGCCGTCGCTTTTCCCCGTTGGCTCAATCAAGCTCCATGTTTCTTGGCGCCTCGACTCTCCTTGACGCCGCTTGCGGCCTACCACCAGCGCCTTGTTGGCCTCCTCCAAACAACATGCTACCCATCATATCAAACAGGGGGTTACTCTGGCGGGGGATGTTGATGCCGAAGTACCGCTCACCAAAGTGCCCCAAGGCATCATCCCAGATGCCAACTTCTTGGATCTGCGAGGAATAGTGCGCCGTCAATTGTCGGAAGAGATCTGCGTTTCCTCGTTGGATTGTAAGGAGCAGCATGTTGATAAAGTTCAACAGGGGCACCGTGGGGAATACCCGGATATCAGAGCTGGCGCTGCTGACGTCTTGGATGCCAAGGGAGGGATTCGACGAAGAGAGTCGAGATGTGAAGACTGCAAAAGCCTTGTTGGCATTGCGGAGGTTCCCGGTCATGAGATATGGGAAGACAGCGCGCGAAGCGTAAATTGCGGCCGTGTGCGGTTCATCGTTGGTGTACCACTCGTATTCGAGCTTCGCAAGGGTCTCAGCTGATTCCGGTGTTCCAAGAATGAGATGCTTCTCGGCATCGTATGGTTCGTTATCTATGGGTTGGCTTCAATTAGGACAGGTCTTCCTGCGTAGATTGCGACTTTGGGCATGGCGTACCTTCAGCGTACACCGATCCGGCTGCGTGGTGCAGCTCTGGGTCTCCTCTTTCCAACGGGCCAAATTTTCCACTCCAACTGATCATTTCCTGGATATACCTCTTCCTCGCAGGCTCCTCCGGTGGGATTTCACGGAGCAATTCGATCAGGCGCTCTACACATAGGATAATAATCGTTAGCAACCATTCTTAAAGTGAAGCATTCGCACACAGGATACATCAACATAGACTAGGTAGAATCCACTCACTTTTCCGGGCCCGTCCCTCCGCATCATCGTCCCCTCCAGTAATCTCCCACTCTGCCTTGGTGTACACCTCAAGCACCAGCATAATCGCCAAGTCACCACCACTTGCAGCAGCGCCCTGCTGCGAGCCCGCCCTCAGTAGAGCAGTAGCACCTCCGGCCAACAAGTCAGCCGCCGCATCGTAGCTACCTTGTTTGATGTATCGTGCCGCGATGACACGCAGCTGCTGGTGAGCTTCGTAGTAAGCGCCGGAGGCGATCCTATGATGGACAGAAGAGTGTCAGCAACTTTTCCAGTCAAAATATCACGTAGATGTAGGTATCATGAATGCGCAGCATCCAGAAGAGAGGAGAGGGGTATTACTTTTCTTGTTGGCGGGCAATCGTCTTCTCAATCCGTGAGGTCATCTTGTTTGTATGTCGAAAAAAAAAAACAAGTCTTTATGGGTAAATACAACCAAACAAATTAAAGACGATAATAATATCAAAAAGCAAGATAGGTCTCAGTCCGAAAAAGAATGAGCACCGGAGACAGTCAGACGTGGTTGTGGTCAATCGGCGATTCGGCCTTTACTTTTGGCTATTATCGGTGGGGGACCGACGCGCTTCCTTTCCTTTCCTTCTAGAAAAGACTCCCTGCGCAACACTTACTTCCACTCTATCGCCATGATGATTCCAATTGGCAATTATTGGATTGGGTCGATTGTATACTGAATTGGTCTCGCTTATAGGATGCTTGGGTTGAGCATAGACGCGTTCAGTGGATTCTACTTGCAATTTGGCATTGGCTGAATACTACCAGCCATTGGAATATATCAACGTTTGCTACTACTCTTAGCAACAAGCATATCAGGACAAGCTATGGATCGGACTACATTTGATATCCAGCCTGTCAATCGGTTCGTGGGCACCAATGCCACCATCCGACGTCCGAAGGTAAGTTGCGTATAACCTTGAACAGGAAGAACAGAGAATATGACTAGATATGTCCAGGAAGTCGCTTGTTTCTCATACGATGACGAGCGTCAATTTCACCTTGACGAGTCATCCATGCGCTATTACTATCCGCCACAACTCCCTGCGGACTTGAATCGTGGCTTTGATACCTTTCAGAAACTGGATGATTCCGCAGACGAGCATCTTGATGCTCTTCTAAGAACCATTGCGGCCATGGAAGAAGAAACGGGGAAGAAGTGTGAAGCAGATATCGTCACATGGAGAGGCATGATGACCAAGGTAGTCTCCCGCGACCCCTGTATTTCTACAAGTACCTATGATTAAACGGTACATAGATCTTGACTATTCCTTTCGACAATTTGAACGGGTAAGTAGGCAACGAGAACTTGCGTGTGGGCTTTGTATTGATTCTGGTCTAGCTTCGAGATGAACGCGACTCGTTTTCAGGTAAGAATTCTCGAATTCAGCTTGTTTCTCTAACTAAAATTCATAATGCAGGATACCATGTATTATCACCAACGCAGGTCCAGTAAATGAACAGGGCTAATTATCAACAGATTCATCGAGGAAAATAATTCCTACAAAAATGAGCAAAAGAAGGTCCAACAGAATCAGAGGATGCCACCCGGGATGGCGTCCCAGGACCTAATGGCATATTGGGGTATACTAAGTATCTGAACCTTCTCGTATTTAATTAATTGACGCGAGATCAGGCTACAAATTTGAGAGCATCTCAGTACTTCGACAACCCTGGGATCCAACCCCGCGCCATGAAATTGAGAATCGGGATGAGGAAATAGTTAATAACAGCGCTCAATACTGCTCTGTCGTCCGTACTGGGATAGGCAACGTGAAAATGGTTATTGGTGGGGAAGTTGACGCCGGTATGTCATAGTATCTATCTAGCTATCTGGGACTCCTGCTAATGAAAAACCTAACAGTATGGGACTGCAAACCCGATAGAAAAGAGGATCACGTCCGCTGGGTTGAGTTGAAGACCTCAGCGGAGATCAGAAACGACCGTGATATGGTGAAATATGAGCGGAAGCTCCTGAAGTTCTGGGCGCAATCATTCCTACTCGGTGTCCCCAAAATTGTCGTTGGATTCCGCAACCAACAAGGAATTGTACACCGTATGGAGGAGGTAGATACTTACACCATCCCGAGCAAGGTTAAGAAGGTCGGAAGAGGTACCTGGGACGGAAATATCTGTATCAACTTTGCCGCTGCGTTTCTCGAATGTAGGGCCGGATTCCAGATATTTGCTCATGGTTTGAGCTAACGGCACTCTTTCTGGATTTAGGGCTGAAGACAACCATCACACAAGATGGGACATGGAGAATTTGCAAAGCTGAAAAGTCGCCGGTTATTGAAGTCTTTAGAGTCGAAGAGGGCGGACATGGCGATATTCTTTCTCCGGAGTTCATGGCTTGGAGATACAAGCTGGGGAGAATTGAGACGAAAGAGCCTCCTGAAGCTCCAGCTGAATAGTTTTACGATCTATCTACGGAAAAGCAATTGGTTCTTCCTACCCGGGAATATCAAAACCTCAGACGCCTGGAGGGCTAACCAAGTAAGGTGTCAAGGAACTCATCGAGAAAAGCCTTCCAAGGTTTCAAAATGAAAGCGATACCATGGATTGGCAGCAGGCTATTGCCTATAACGTGCAATCTTGAATCTTACTACATTCATAATCGAAACACTTGCCAAGCTACGCAGGCCATTGCTTAATCATGTATATACGAGTCGGACAGGGTGAAGAGCATTTGCTCAAGAGAAAAATGAGAAAAATGAGAAAAATAATCAATGTGAAAACGTTGTATTGCACGATTTAGCTATCAATCCCCCTGCTCTTGGGTATCATTTAAAGACTCCTTCTTCCGCAGATACTCGGCATGCTCGGCTTTCTTTGCAGCATGCTTGAGCGCTCGTCTATGTGCAAATCCATTCATGTGAACATCCCACTGTTCGGTAGTCATAGTCTTGTTACAAACATCACAGGTGACGGTCTTCAATGAGCCGTTCTTTTGCTTCGCTGCCTTTGCCTCCTTGGCACTAAGAGTTGTTCTTGCAAGCTCCGAGAGCGACTTCGGATCAGGTGTCGATTCATCGCTAAGCAAAGCCTGAACAAGCCTCTCAGATGGCTCTGTAATGTGCTGCTCCCATTCTTCGACGTTGCTGGTATCGAGAAGGAATAGACGATGTGTCATTCCGGCTTCCGAGAGGGTGTTCCATAGTTTGTTGCGGACCCATTTAACCTGCGAGGTTGAGTACTGACGCGTAGCGATCCTGATAGCCTCAATAGACGACTGCTTCAGCGCTTCCAGTTCCTCTTCGCTAGACGACCCTTGTTGCACAGCTCGGAAATACGGTGCCAACTCCTTGAAGCCAATTGAAATCCAGACGCCCCTTTCCTGGTCGACAGTGATTCCTTGCGCTTGTTTCTCCTGAATGTAATCGAACATTTTCTGGGCTTCGGACATCAGGCCCTGCTCAACCATGGCGTCCACGCGCTTCTCAAGTCGAGTATTCAACGCCTCCCTCTCCGCATGAACCCAGAATATCATGGTCGGAAAGCGCAGCTGTTCCGATCCGGAAGAGGTTGCTGTTGCAGCCACTTCCTTGGTGCGTTTCTGCTCTGCGTATACTTCCGAGGCCGGCCTACCTGTCTGAAAGTAGATCTCCAAAGAACGTCGGATCTTGCGTGTCTCGTTCGGATGCCATCGATCGGCCATGGCCGGGTCTACCTCTCGTAGTTTCTGTAGAACCACTTCTGTCGGTTCATCGAGTATGGGCCATCTCGCAGAGGATTCATTTGTTGTCTGTTCTTCTTTGTCCGCTCCGATTTCCGCATTCTCACCGACAGTCTGGTCCTTGAAAAGTACAGCCTGGGTATAGTAATGCGTTCCTCCAACAAGTACTGGAAGTTTCCCCCGCGAATGAATATCCTTGATCAGCCGGAGAGTCTCCCGTTTAAATATCCCGATGCGCCAGGCTTCCTCTTCCAGACCGACACAGCTCAGCAAATGATGCGGAATTCCGTTCCTTTCCTCGATGGGTATCTGATTCGTGATTATGGGAAGACCGCGGTACATTTGCATCGCATCGCCATTGATAATTTCACCGTTGAAGCGGGATGCTAAGTCAACTGCAAGCTATCTGTAGCCGTTAGAATTTATCTTATACAAGACCCTTCTGGTTTGCTCACCTTGGATTTGCCAGTGCCTGTCGCACCGACGACAGCTATGAGGGGTTCCATGATTGAGCGGCGTTGTCGATAGAATATAGATCCAAAAAAACTGAGCATGGAAGTGTAAGGATACCAGAGCTCAGCATCATGATCTCACAGGATCCATCTGCTAGAGCTTCCTATTTCCTAGTCACTTGACTCTATATTGTACAACTGCTCATAAGGAGTCACGGGAAAGAAAAAAATCTAAAACCTCCGCAATCTTATCAATCGCCAGGATTATTACCTCATCCGCCGGTCAACACCACCGAGATCCATTATGATTCAATTAAGACTAAACTAGAAAAGAACTATTGTCCCTCTTGAAGTCTCCTTTTCCTCTAATCCTCTACTCTTCGACGGAAATGGCACCCCACAACCCGAATCAGAAGGAACCATCCATCACCGTGCAAAACCTTTCATATAAATTCCAGGATGGATCTTCCGGCTTGAATAATTTAAACCTTGATCTTCCTCCCGGAAGCCGAACTCTGCTCATTGGCGGTAAGAAACTCTCATCCCTCTGCTCTTTTAAATGGCATGAACCGAATGCTAACATATACACAGCAAACGGCGCGGGGAAAACAACCCTCCTCCGCCTCCTAGCAGGCAAACGCCTAGCACCAAACAACACAATAGCTGTAGCCGGCATTGATCCCTTCAAAGACGGCTTGGAGGGAGTCACTTATCTCGGCGTGGAATGGGTCCTCAACCAAATCGTCCGCACGGACATGGACGTCCCCACGCTCCTCGCCTCCATCGGGGGTAACGTCTACCCCGAGCGACGGGATGAATTAGTCGAGATTCTCGACATTGACCTTCGCTGGCGCATGCATGCCGTCTCGGATGGAGAGCGCCGCCGTGTGCAATTGGCAATGGGTCTGCTGGTCCCCTGGAGTGTGCTTCTTCTCGATGAGATCACGGTTGATTTGGACTTGTTATCCAGGAGTAACTTCCTTTCGTACCTTAAGCGGGAGACGGAGACGAGGCCGTGCACGATTGTGTATGCCACTCACATCCTGGATAATCTTTCACAGTGGCCGACGCACTTGGTGCATATGCATCTTGGTACTGTTAAGCAGGTGGGACCCATTGAGCAGTTCCAGAAGGAAGTTCCTGAGACTGCTGAGAACAGCCAACTCGGTGAGCTCGTTCTCAAGTGGCTCAAGGAGGATTTGAAGACTAGAGGGCCCAGACATGGCCGTTCGAGTGATAGCAAGACATATGCGTCTCTCGAGGGGAAGGGAGGTTATGGATTCGAAAAGAAGAATTGATTCGACACATTGTTCTTTCCGTGTTTTGAATGATTTCAACAGTGGACTGTTTCAACCTTCACATGGCATATTCGGGGGTTGGGACGTTTATGTTTGGATTTTGATAAATGTATGGATACATTCAACATTCATAAGACGTTCAACCATTAACTTTTGTTGGCTTGCTTTTCTATGTACATAATTTTCAATTCTTTCATGCAAACACATTCGAGATGGCATATATCCGCGTTGAAGTGTCTTCACTTGCAACCGCAAGCTCGAATTTGGACATATCTGTCCGAGAAGTAGGCCGCCAGGAGAGCTGGGTGATTGTCTTCGAAGGAGACACGGACTTATCTATCGTTACCAGGTGCTTGGCGTCGAGGCTCTCAACCTCAACCTGGTACACTGATAATTCACCACTGTCCTCACCCATAGCGAGGAGAAGCGAGCCATCCTGGACAGCTGGGAGGAAAGAGATGGCAGTAACGGAGCTTTGCAGGAAGATAGTCGATTGACAGACGAAAGATCCTTCTTCCATTCTCCAGATCTTCACAGATTTATCACGACCTGCTGTTGCAAAGACGGGTTTATCTGTCATGGGTGCCCATGACGTGTCTAGTATCATCCTAGAGTGTCCCTTGGGATTGGATTGCAGAAGCGAGAAAGAAGGCAGCTCTTGTTCGTTTCGTTGGAAAACGGCCCATTGGCGGTCTCGTCCAACACTGACAAGATACCGATCATCGCCGGAGAAACAGAGGCTCGTTATCGTCAACGAATGTGCAGTAAGAGGAGGTCGGATCTCATGCCAGTCCGATGTATCATACAAACGTATCACGGCATGGTCCAGAGAGCTGGCCTTGCAGGCAGTGGCAATCAATGTGTGGTCATGGCTGGCAGAAACCGCGGATATTTCGTAGCCATGGCCGTACAATTTCTCGTGCTCGGGCCATAGAGTGTAGCGAGCTAGCTGGTCTTCAAGAGGAGGTTCGTTTGACTCAGCTAAGCTGGCCTGGACTTGTCCAGCCTGTGCACTATTCTCATCTTCTTCTTCCAACGGGGTCTCTTCATTAGTCGCCTGGTTCGAAAGTCCGAGTACTGGCATTTGCGCAGTGTCTGGAAGCGTTTCCTCGGTTGATTGCTGAAATCCAGAAAGTTTCTCAAGGAGTTGAGCAATCTGCTTGGGCTCGTTGAACACTCGTAGAAGTTTTTCGTCTGCACCAGAGACAAATCTCGCAGAACCCAGAACGTCCACACAATTCAGATCATAACCATGAATTTGTGGCCTTGCAAATTCATGCCATGATTCTAGCTGTTCGCGCAACCATTGCGCATGGAGACGTGTGGTCTGATCCGCACTTGTCGAGAGAAGATATCCACCAGACGGTTCCCACCGTATACCATTGACTGATCGTACATGGCCGGAGATTCCCAACGTTTGGACCCAGATATCGACGTCTGCATCATACCCCCACGACCTCCAGCTACCTGTTCGGCCCAAGCTTACAACCTGCTTACCATCTGGCGACCACAAACCAATCCAGAACCCACCTGTACTGCCAGTGGCCGTCGTAGAACCCTTCTGCACGCTAATCTCCCCCATGCGCTCCATCGAAACCCAGACACCAGAGACAGAGTCTTGCTCCCAGATAGTCAGGGTATTATCTGCTGATGCAGCGAGAAGCTGCTGTCGCTCCGGGTTAGGATTCCATGTTGTGGTGTAGATCCAGTCCTCATTTCCGAAAAGAAGCGCTTCAAAGGTGATCGTATATTTAGATCCCGATGCCTCAAATTCATAGGCTTTGTTCGTCAATGTAGGTTCCATTCCTCCCAACATAGGGTCTGTCTCGTCTGTCGGTGCAGCCGGTGCGGCTTCTCCGCGATGTACTCGCCAAAGTCGAATGTATTTGTCCTGACTAGCTGACGCCAGCAGAAGATCGCCCGTCTTGCTCTGCTTGTCATTTGTGAAAGAAAGCGATCTCACCCACGCCTCATGGCCCGATAGTGTTGCGCAAAGTTCAAACTCAAGATCCGTTGCCGTGTTCTCAGAAACGAATATCTGCACAATGTTCGTGGTTCCTGCAACCGCCAACACAACAGGCCCCTGCTTCCCGTCGGTCTGGAGTCGGCTTAATGATAGGGTCATGGGGAAAAATCGCGGCTTCATAGTTATGCTCTGGACCAATTCCGCACCTGTGCCTTCGTCGACAGAAATTCTCCACACTCGCACGCTTCCATCCGCTGCCCCCGATGCGATAGTATTCGTGCCATCGGCCACCGCAACCGCATTTACTGAGCCCGTATGTCCCTCAAGAGTCTGTGCAAGTACAAATTGGCACCCGTCCGTTGTGCTGGATCGCCATATCCGAACGGTGCGATCTACCGATCCGGTAACGAGGAGTTTCGTGCCTGTCGATGGACATGTGTAGAATCTGACTGCGCTGACCTTGTCGGTATGTCCGACGAGGAGAGAATGGACCCCGCGTTGAGAATTTTCCTATGGGCAACCGTTCAGCATTCATTTCGCATGGAGGAAAAGCAATATAACAAAAGTAAGGCAGCTCGTAGTACTTACTCTTGGGTCCCACAAGGCCACATTCTGGTCCGCACCAAAGGCGAGCACGCCCGACTGAACGTCCCAGTCGGCGGCGGCCGGGTGCCGGTTTCCCCCAGCGCTGATATAGTCGGTTGTGATGGACACCATGGAGACTACGCCTAATACAAATATTATCGATCCTCCGGCGTGGCAGAAAAGGAAATAAGAACCTAAAATAAGTGGGTTCGGAGGGCGTCGCTACTATCGCAATGGATCAAGACCCGGAGAGATTGAAGGACGATTTTTTGTGAACGCGGGCTTATCGATAAGGGTCTTGTCAAATCGGAGAACCCCTCGTCATTTTGTCCATCGATTAATCAATCATTCTACAGCCTTCATACTATATTAGGCATTCTCTGCTGATCATTCAAACCATTAACGAAACATTCTATTTGGCTGATATACCGCTTGTTGGGGCTTTTAACTCGTCCAAGATGGCTACCTCTGCGCCGAAAAAAAATGATTCGGGTGCTATTTCGATCACTGTCGAGTTCACGTTCGTACTCTCTTTCTATTCTGTTGATGACCCGAGATAATCTCTAATACTTATTGTTATAGTGGTGGTCTGGAGATTTTGTTCTCAAACGAGCGCAAACATGATATCGCAATTCCAGCGCAGTTAAGCGACGGCAGTCGGCCAAATATCGCCTATCTCCTCCAGTACCTTGTCGATAATGCCATGAGGGACGAGAGGAAAGATTTGTTCATATTAGAAGACAATGTGTAGGTCACCCTGGGGAAGAGAGACAGGTTGCGCATCGTTTTTCTGATTGACGAGCAACAGGCGACCCGGGATCCTTGTACTTATTAACGACGCCGATTGGGAACTTGAAGGTGAAGAGAAGTACGAGCTTCAACAAGGAGATAACATTGTTTTTGTTTCTACGCTTCATGGTGGCTAGCGTCTTGTCTTCACGTTCACGCTCAATTCATCACATTTATTTCATGCATGGATATACAACAACGAAGAAGTTACAGCAGCCGCAATCCGGAGTTCAGCCCTAGACAACGTCCTCAACGTGTTGCTGTGTGATTCTTTCCGGCTCGCGTGGTGTCCGCAGCCCGTTCTGTGGCGTGGCTAGCCCCTCTTGCGGGCTTCCCAATCCACCACCGGCCATGGGGGTGGTAATACCGCTAGGAGGGACTGGGATCTTGAGGTCTTGCGGCGATCCTGGGATAATCTCTTGTGGAAGACCGGGAATATGGATCCTTCGCGCCTCATTCTGGTAACTCTCGGGGATTATCTAGGATAAAATGTCAGTCGATATTGAGACAAGAAGCAAAAAGAGAAGACGAATCTCAAGAAACGTACCTCAATAATTTCATCTCGAGGGAACTCCAAAAATGGAATGTCTGCAGCGTTGCATGCCATAAGATATCCGTACAGTACTCTCAACACACTTTCATGCGCAATGATGAGGAGATCATTTTGTTCACGCTCAAGTTCCAAAATGATAGGCTCGAGACGCACAGCTAGGTCATGATATGACTATCGTGTAATCAGCCCATGCGCAGACGTTAACGTAGACATGGAAGAGACAAACCTCTGCACGAGGATACCGGTGATGGTAGGGGTCAAGGTCGTGTTTAGCCACCTCCTCTGGATATTCTAGGCGTATTTTCCCCTCGCTCATACTCTCGCACACGCCTGGGTTGAGCTGACTCATTTGCGACCTCTGTCGCACCTTGTAACCACTCTCATGCAAATATTTGGCGGTCTCGATTGTTCGGCGTCTTGTAGATGTCCATACGGTCAATGGTTTCAATTCATAGCTTTGCTCTCCCCGGTCAAGCATCTCCTGCTTTTCGGTCTCCCGATGCCGTAGCAAAAATTCAGTCATCTTCGTTGCATACTCTTCACCTTGTTCCGACAAGGACGAGTCCGACTTGTAATTTGCTTCGTGCGAGACACCTGCCTAGATATACCAATCATAAATCAGTAACTGAGCCTTTCCCAACCCCATGAAGGAGTAGCTGAGAAATTTTGCTTACCCGTGCGAAGTACGTATGTCTGGATTTGATATGAAGATTGGTAAGGTAGAAAACAATTCGGTGCGAGAGGTATCCGAAGCTACAGTTATTGACGATCAATCTTTCACCGGCATTCATCATCTGCACGAGTTAGATTTGATGTTCAAAGCAGAAGAAGGATAGCAGATGGAGATTGTTGATACCTTGATGTAATTCAAGTCCTTCTCCTCCATTGTCTGGAATTGTGGGATACGAGAAGATATCCGAGTCAAATAGTGCTTCACTGCATCCTCCGAGGACCAGCCTACATACTAATAGGGATTAGTAAATCTCTTGAGAGCTTAGACGTATAGGAATAGAAATTGAAACTCACGTCCGGTGAAGAAATCTTAACCCTACGGACGTTCTCCTCGATGATCCGTTCATCATCACACCATGATTCTATGAACAAGGTCTTTGGCCAGGTTAGCCTGGTTGGTCATTCCAGGGAGCCGAAGAACATACCTCAATATCGTGCTTCGCGAACTCCTTAGCCAAAGACCTTCTACCAGCAGCCAAGGGGTTAACAGCGTCGTATATCGCGATTTGACCATTCTCATGGTTCAGGAAGTGATAGATATCCTCGCGGCATTTTCTCACTATCTTTTGCCTCAGGAGTACCGATGATGCCGATGCTATACCTAGTTAGCCAGAAAAGACAAGGTCACTGAGACAATATTACTTGCCGTTGACATAGAAGTAATCGTCTGGCATGTCTTCACCAAAAGGAATAGTAGCGCGTCTGTAGTCTCCTAGGTGAAAGATTCTGGTCTTGACACCGAGCCTATAATACTATAGTTAGTCTACGCCGGGGTTTCCAAAGACGAGAGAGACCTGAAACAAACCATCGAAGATATCGTGCTAAAGCCACAGATATATGCCTGAACCAGAACAAACATGTCAGCGGCGATGATCCAACCCGCATGAGTCGATATGGTTATGGTAAATGAAACCAACGTTTTCCCTCTCGCTGGTAGGCCAACGGTGATGATGACAATTCGACCTGAATGGAAAAGACGGCCAGATTCCGTGCTGTATAGCTGAGCTGGTGCGAGGTCCGCCTTTTCAGGTAGATCGTGAATGGCATCGACGAAAGTAGACGATTTGCGGCGGAATCGCGGAGAATTGGCAACGATCTCTGCGGTTCTGGTAGCAACATGTTAGTTTCACGCTCATCTAAAGTAGCTTCGAACTTGTCCTAATGGACATCTTTCATAAAGGGCAGCCGAGACAAGCCTGTGGCCAGAACAGGTGGGGATAAGATAAACAATCCCGACTTACAACAGTGTATCCATGGTTGAGCAATGATGGTAACAGACGAAACACAAGCGGTTTAAAGGATATAGAGTCGTAATTCGAAGGCACGTTAATCAAAAAGTCGTTCGTAAGATGTAAGAGGCTTAAAATCAGAAGAGAATTCCTCTTAAGAAAAGGCAATCTGTGAATGGTATGGTATGGTTTGGCGGCAGCTGAAGGGATAGGGAAGGTGCGTTGCGCAACCCGCTGAGCGATTTTAGCAATTTGGGCAGTCCCTTGCGAACGATGTATAACCAGCGACCAAAGACGATTGCAGAAGAAGAAACGAGCTCGACGTAAGAAAAAGGAAAACAGCCACCGGTCTTTTGTTATTATATCATATTGCCATTTCTTGGAGGAGCAGCGGTCCCCGCTAGATCCCAAAGCGGCTTAGCGCGGCTCGGGGTGACTCCCGTAGTCTGCAGGCGCCAGAAACGCAGCGACCAACTGCCAAGCGCAGCGGAAAGCAAAAGTGACTTTTTTTCAAAGCTCTCTTCAACTTATCCTCAATACCTCCACCGCTGGCCCAGACATAGCCCGGCGTCTTTTGGCAACTGACAAGTGACGGTGCTTTGATTCTATTTTTCCCTTTCCTCACAAGCTCCAATTTCAGGGCTGGTCTCGGAAGTTTTCTTTTCCTTGTGCCTCCACAAATTGCAAAGGCCGCATTTCTCGACTAGCGTCACGACCCTCGGTTCCCGTATACCACATCCTCCTCTCCGTACTAATACCGACAAACCAACCCTATACTCCGTCACAATGGCCGATTTATCTTCCGCTTTTTCTTTCCTGACGGACAATTCCGTTGCGGCTGTGGCCAAGGATGCATACAACTCGTTCTCAGAGCGCAGGGAGGCCCTCGGCCTCTCCAACCCGGGAACTGTGGATAACATCGCGAGGGAGGTGCAGAAGGAGGTCTTGCTGTCCAACTTCATGTTCACAGGTCTCCGGGCAGACTTGACAAAGGCTTTCAGCATGTCTCCCCTTTTCCGTGTGTCGCATGCATTCGCCATGGGCTCGTCGGGTAACCTGCCTCCGTACGCTTTCTCGGCCATGTACGGAAGTCCCAGGGTAGGTCATGTTCCTGTTTCTCTTTACAATATCTATGCGGGTTTCTTGTGGTAAGATGTTTGATTGGGTTACTAAGAGAATTTATTATACGAACAGGTGTTCACGCAAGGCAACTTCGGAAGCGATGGCTCGCTTGCCGCCGTTGGTAACTACCGCTGGAGTCCCAAGTTTGTCACCAAGGCCAACACACAGATCATGGCTGGTGCGACCCAGGGTCTGCTGCAACTCGACAATGACTACACTGGTGACGACTTCTCGGCATCTATCAAGGCGTTCAACCCCTCTCTCTTGGATGGCGGCCTAACCGGAATCTTCGTCGGAAGCTACCTTCAATCCATTACCCCCAACCTGGCTCTCGGTTTCGAAGCGATCTGGCAGCGTCAGGGAATGAGCACTCGTCCCGAAACTGCACTTTCGTACTGCGGCCGTTATAAGACCAGTGACTGGATCGCCAGTGCTCAGCTCCAGGCTCAGGGTGTCTTCGCTGCCTCGTACTGGAGAAAGCTGTCTGAACGTATTGAGGCTGGTGTCGACATGAACCTTCAGTTTGCTCCCAACCCGGCGGCAGCTATGATGGGTGCTCCCAGCAAAGACGGCACTACCTCCATTGGAGCTAAATACGACTTCCGCGCCTCTTCGTTCCGTGCTCAGGTTGACAGCACCGGTAAGGTCAGCTGCCTTTTGGAGAAGCGGATAGCTATGCCCATTGCTCTCACTTTTGCCGGTGAGATTGACCACGCTAAGGTGAGTTATGTCTGTCACGTGTTCCTAATGTTTTGAATATTCCCTCGAGCTAACCACTTATGCTTTTTCTTTAGCAATCTGCCAAGCTTGGTCTTGCTGTATCCCTCGAGATCGCTGGTGAGGAGATGCTGGAACAGCAGGAGAAGATTGAGGCTCACGGCATGGTTCCTCCTCCTTTCTAAGCACCCATTAACGAATAGTTGGAATTAACGAAGCCAACTATTATGGGAGGGCAACTCGTTAATGTTCACTACCCACGTTGCAGCTGACAACCTTTTTTCATCCCTATGTTTTAGTAGTTTCTTCGCTTTCCACCTGATGTATCACTTTCTCGGGTTTTCACGTCAAAATGCGGTTTGCCGGTGCAGGGAGATAGTCATTTGGCGCCATGGAACCATCTCTTTTCCCGTTTTCTGTATAGAACCATTTCCGTTTTTTCTCATGAATTTCTTTTCCTCCGCTTTCTCCCCTTTTTGGCTATGGCCTCATCTATGACTTACTGGCCCGCCCTCTTGTATGTTGTTGTTTTCCTATTTTCACTGATGGTTATCTTGACTGGTCAACATGAGACATGCATGAAGCACGAGGATTACGTTTGGTTTCGCATCATAGATGAGGCAATGTAAAACAATGTTGACGATCTGATGTGATCCTGTACTTTGCAATACCGAATAATGAGGATGAGTGATTAGCTGGATCTAGTGAAAGACAAACAATCGGTATAGGTGACTTGGTTCTAGGAGGTTGCCATGTACATGCCCTTTGCCGGCTTGTTGTGCAGGGTCTTCAAGTAGGACTGATATTTGAGACATGAGCACTCAGACAAACTGCGTATAAATGCTATTATCTTTGAAAGACTCTTCTGAGGCTTCGTTTAAGGGATCTCGCCTGCACCTACAGCTGTACTCCGTGAATGGCATTGGTACTGGTAATACGGCATAGAAAAAACTCCCTTTTGTAAAACTCAATAATACACCCGTCAACCTAGTCCCAGCAGAACTTTGATAAGAAACTATCAGAAACGATAAAAGGACCATCACAATAAGATGAAAACCCAGAATGACCTCAGTTCGCACCTCCCCTGGCCCAAAGCGTCTGCCTAACGAGTCAATGACAATCGGCCGTGGGGTTGCCCTATACCGTTCGGGGTAATTGAGGGAGCTACTCTTCATGTTTCATGTCTATCGAAGCGACTCCATCGTTTATTGAAGTAGCCCATTATTCTAGTTGGCTAATGCTAGGGACGGCATTCGTTTGTTGGAAACCTAGAGGTTAGCCTTGGTTAGGTGTCAGGCACCGTATCCTGATACCCGGACTGAGTGCCGAGACTGGCATATTCGGTCCACAACATCTGTGCCCTAGTGAAAGTGGATTCTACAAGCGTTCTCTACCCCTGGATATGGAGAACATCCCTAGAATTTATGTTCGCCCTTAAGGCTATCTCTTCATTTTCTCTATCCTACGCCGTAGACTTCTGCTGAGTAGATTCGATGTTTCGATAGAGAGTTTGATTGATTATCGTAGGATCCACGATGACGTCATTCCATTGAACCCACGGCCGAGTCTTATTTCGCGCATAGCGGCATTAAGTAACATGCAGATTTTTCTTAGGCGAATGAGATCGCTTTGTATCATGCGTTTTAATTAAATAGCTCTCCTTATATACGGAGAGTTCATCTGCCAACAAAGTATGTACCGACAACGAGACGAAATTGCAGTGGATCTTCGTTCCCGATATTCTACTTCGGAGTCTGTCATTATTGGCCTCTGAATCTGAGGTACAAACTGCCTACAACCGGTGATTGATTGAAAAATATTCAAAGAACCAGGGTTCGTTTTTAAGGTCTGCGGCTCGAATGATATTGGCTGTGTTTCAAATTGACCAACAGTTTCGGGTGTGGCCATGTTAGAGCCGTATACTCCACACAGTAGGTGGAGAGGTACACAAAAGAAAAGTACTGCATATCTAAATTTTGGTGTCACGGCCAAGGGAGTGGCACTGCCCTAGATTCTTCGGCTTTATTACGCCGTCTGACACAAGAATGCTGCTATAATTATCGTTTGGGCATGAATACATATTATCTCGTGACAGGTCGAACCCTAGATAATGTCAGATAATAGTGAGATCACTGCCCAGTGGTTACCATCGTCCCTGAGGCCCACGGGTTCCAATCATGTGTAATGTCTGGACTCGATTCGTTTGTGTTTCCTACTGAGTAAGGCAAATGGACGAAGGGAATGAATGTTGCCGACGATAATACTGATGATTATCGTTGGAGACATACAGAGTAGTCATCCATACCAGGGTCTCAGCTAATATCCGTTCATTGGACGTGAAATTCCCCTACCTGTGCATTATTAGTTACAGCCGAAGTAATTTTTCGGGCTTCACAGCAGCATGTCAAGCATGCATAGTAGACGGGTACCGATGAAACGACCAATGAAGTATCGAGTATCTCCTGATCATGACGCAGCACAAGATTTTTCTCCTGAGATATTGATTGCTTGGGTACTACTCTGATAAAGCCCATCCATCCTTGGGCAGTCAAGCCAGTCCAGTTCTTCACGTGTCAGCTGACATTCATCGGAAAGACAGCATGGGCGGTATCATAATCCCAAAGCCACTTGCAGAATAAGCTACAGCTACATACGTAGTATGCGGCGCAATTCCTGAGTTTATTTATGCAACTTTAGTTTTAAATGCTAGGAATGTCAGGCTGTCCGCTCACATGACTGTCAGAACAGCCTCAATTGATGCAAAAAGACCCATGTAGTAATCGATAAAGAGGGGGAAATCTCTCAATTCTCAATATTCTATATGCAAAACGAAGTCATACTCTACTCTGACATGCCATTCATCTGACCTGCATTTAAGACTTAGATCTTCGTTGGCCAAGACCGCACTGTCCATAAGTCGCTCCGAGCTCCTCGTGCATACCAGTTTGTACTTAGGCGACTGGGTCTGCAAGCTTTAGGTGCACCTGTTAGGTCTACAGTCAACCATTGATTCCATTCCCGCAGTATGTATGTGGTAGTGGACAGTAGTAGTACTACGACAAACGGAGTATTACTAGACTCCAATATCCTCCAACCTTCACCATAAACCGAATTTCCATGGTTAAGTCTCTCGCATAAGATGTAATGAGTAGTTATTCACGAGGCCCATGACGTCAAAGCCAAGATGCGTTGACCTACAATTGGAGGGAGTGTCCATGGTACAAATACTATGTAATTGTATATTGACGTCGTAAATTACACCGTATAAGCGACTGACCACTCAAGCCTCAGCCCATTAGCGATATAAGCCAATCACGATGCTCTTGCGGGGGGAAATCGTTGCTGGTCACCCGACACTTGATGGTTCAATCCGCAGGACGTTACAGGGGTGTAACTGGCCCTCTTCTTATGCACTAGCCTGTATTCGGTCTAGCGGCAACTAAACCAGTGGCTGTGACTTCATGGGTGTTCCCATTTGGTGTCGGTACTGTACTAGCTTAATACCAGGGGTAATTTTGGCAGATTAAGACCCCCATAATTACCGAGACTAGTCTATTTTACATGCATTATTGTTAACCAAAGAAATGAGCGTTAGGGGTGAAAAGAATACAGAATAAAAAAAAAAAAAAAACTGCTGTGAGAGGAACGTGGCTGCAATTCTTCATGATTGTTCCTTGGTAACGTCGGAATCTATCCAAACCCTCGGAAGATGACGAAACCCAAACATAATTGGCATGGACTGATGGAAGAAAAGCGAATGAATGAAAAATCATAATTTAAACTTACCGTATATGCCCGATCCGTCCTCATTGCTAACCGACGACATACGGTCTTCTCCCGAGCGAGCGCTTAGCAGTAATAGTGATGGTCGATGGTCGAGGTCGGCTACAAAATGTTCCGTCTACAGCCGCCGTCATCAATGGTAACTGGGTTGGCATGTGCTGAGTAGTAGCATGTGCTACAACTATGTATATATATTCCGGACTTTAAACTATCTACATTCAACTGGAGCATATCTAAAGCTACCTTCTCTATCAAAGTACATATGCATAAACACACCTTGCTTCCTGTATGGAGGAGTAAGGGTGGCATAATTTCAGCATTAATTTCAGTATGTGATTTATTACATTATTACTGGCTCCATACTTGACCTATGCCCCGCTTACTACTACTGTACCAATTTAATAGTACATACTGGTACGGCCGATACCATGATGTATTTTTGGTCATGTGTCCCTCTTTTTTGTACTCTTTACTCAGTATGATATTGACTAAAATATTATCGCCATTTTTTTTTTTTATGGACAACTCCAGATTCATTTTGCAAGTCCAATACAACGTATGGAGTACTCCGTATAATTATGTATAATTTTTTAGTTTGGTTTGAATGCCCAAACCCATGTCTCCATATGCCGGCGGCCGTAAAGAGCAATCCGACTTGGGCCCTCCCCCAGCCATTGACCTACTTTCATGGCGTCTCTCCACACACTGCCACCAGCAGCTCTGTGCACTGGGCTTTAAACTATGACAACCTTTTCTATTATTATGGTCACTCTGTACGGAGTAATTGTTTGTCGTAGTGGCCAGTAAATCAAGTAGAAAATAATAATAGTAAACGTGCCAATTTCCTCTCCTCTTCTACTTCTTTGCCCCTCTGTTTCCTCTCTTTCTCTATTTCTACTCTGTATTGTTCCCTCAAGTTGCCTCCAAAAAACCGCCGCCCACGAACTAGATATTGGGACAGGCGCTTCCGCACCGGATCTCTTTTCACCTTCCTCCCCCCAGACAACCACCAGATTAATTGTCCTTTTTCAACTTCCTTTTTTTCTCTCACATACTTTACTCGAATAGAGTAATTTCAAATCTACATCTTGGTTGTCTTTATTCTGGGTTGCTCTCTTCATAAACCCGGCGTTCCTGCAGCCCTCGCGTGTTCGGGCTTCGTCGCTGGACCAACGTCACCTGCTCTCCGTCTCCCTCTCTTTCTGCCTTCTCCCTCTCTTCCTCTCTCCTCCTTCCACCCCCCTCTCCTTCTACATTATTTCAGAAATTTATTATCCGGCTAAACCGCCCATTCTCACCTAACTGGTGAGCCGTGAATATTGCCCCTTAATTATTCCTCTTTTTCCCATTTTTCTTTTCTTTTTTCTTATTAAGTATCCGAACTTGGTCACGGATACTGATC